AATCAAGAGTACCAAAAGCAGCGAAGGAACTGTAACATACTTTAGATCTCAAGCTGACAATTGTTTAGTTTCTACGCCACTCCACTCAATCTGAACTTTCAGAAAGACCTGAGATAGCGACCAACATGACGGCCATTTTGAATGACGTGGAATCTTAGTTTCACTATCCTTGTTCACGAATTGGGGTAATTTTTCGAATGTGTGTGTGGATAGTCTCTTTCACACTGTGAGAGCTCCAGTGTGACCAGCGTACCACTTCTCTTCAATTTCAAAACACGCTTGAGCGTCGCTGATCTCCCGCTGAATTTTTTGTAAGAACACTTTATCTCTAATTTAGTGTTTCTCAAAAGAGTTGTTTTATCAAATTTTGCAAATTACCTAAATCACAAAATACTTCTGTGGAACGTTTTTTCCAGTTGGTCACATACTCACCTACAACTCGACGGGAGAATTCCTGTATCGCAAACATTTCCTCCTGATTTAAGGCCTTGTCGTATACCTGCATCTGAGCGATCCTTCCCTTAAAGTACCTCCCATCACCAATCTTTGCTCCCATTCTGATGCTGTTCTGAGTGGCTAGGTTCAGTCCTGCTCCAATGTTCAGAGTCTGAACCACGGCTCCATTCACCCACAGTTTTGCATTACCGGTAACACGGTCGTACGATGCGCCAACAAACTTCCATCCACCCGCTAGAGCGGTGTGCTGAAGGGCGGTAGTGAATGAGAAATCACGTTTTGTGAAACGAACAAAAAGTTTGCCGGCCACAACCCAAAGATGTACTCCCCAGGGCCCGCCGGTCTTGTAATTGAAGAGAGGCCCGTCTTGGCCATTGTGGTACACCCAACAAAGCATCGTCATGGAGTGAAGAACGTCCAACGGTCCCTCGGCGCTGTTAGGAATCTCGATATAGCTATAGGAAGTTCCAGAAAATTCGTAGGAGCCGTCCTTTTCCCCGTTGGGTCCGGGAGCTAAATTAACTCCACTAGGGACCACATTGGTTACCCTGTTGTTGATTTCATTGGTACCATAGGCGGCATTGAGAGGAAACAGTGCAACAGGATATGGAACTTAAAAAAACAAAGAGAAAGAAACCATTACTACCAGTTTGACTTGCTTATTTACAACCGTTATTCGGGTTGGGTCTCAGTCCATGCTCATTTCAAAGTAATTTGTCCAAAAATATTAGCGGAGCCCCATAGCTAAGAAAATTTGTTAATCGATCCATCTGAGAAACTTTGGTAATCACGTGACCGTACGTCCGCTCGTCCGTCCGCACCACAGGAAAATCAATGTGAAATGTTTCTAGCTAGTGTGAAATGTCTGAGTTGTTTTCGAAACTTTACAAGCGCCTAGTACTTCCAATACTCGAGTACTGCTCTCCAGTATGGTGCCAGCACCAAACAGGGACTTAAACATAGAAATTACAACATAGAGCATCCAAATGTGCCCTTGGAAACTTTGGGCGAGACATGTCCTACGAAGAACGCCTAAAGGTCCAAAAATGGCCAACCCTTCAACAAAGAAGATTATTTTCTTCGCTTGCTGAGTGTTATAAGACAATATACCGTCTAAATGGACTAGATCCTTCATATTTTTTTACGTTTGGACGCGATTTTCAAGCCTTAACCACTGTTTTAAACGTAAGTTTGTGTCTGTAGTGTCTGCGACTTTAAATAGTTTCAAACATTCGTTTTTTAGTCGCATAATTGATTAATGGAATAACTTACCTAAGGAAATCGTTGAGGCGGAAAATTTGAACATTTTTTAAGAATAGAGTCAGACGTTATTTTGCCAGTGTTTCAGCCGAATGTTGAATTATCTAGACATGTCTGGCGGCAGACTATTTTTTGTATTTTTAAACAGAATGTAAATTTGATAAATTATTTATATTTTATTTTATACATATTTATTTTCTCAATGGAATAAGTGCTAACAGCCCGATTATGTTATTTGCAAAGCGACATTAAGTAGAATCCAGTCCCTGCAAAGTTGCAAACACTTTCCACGCAATATAGTTGTGGGTTTTGCCTGACACTTTACTGTCACATAGTAGCCTGTCATCTCTCTATAATTAGAGCATATGCGAAGAACATGAGGATGATTATACGTAGAAAAGTGCTTCTTTTTTGCCGAATGAGCCTACCGACAAAGAACATGCCATCTTGAGAGAATCATGAGAGACATTTCACCGATCTTCAACGAATTTAGAGTTGTTCTTTTGATTCATGTGCAATAATATATGTTCATTGTTATTGTTACTGTACTTTTCTTTAAGTTTTGGAGATGAACTAGATATAAAGTTCACCTCTTCATCTCCTTTTCACTTGTGGCGGCCTGCAAAATGATATTGCACATCCATGTTGTGGTCAACTGACAGCTGTTAAATCAGTGTATCCGCTGGCTAGTATGACATGAGCGTATTGCGAGCCCAGGTGTCGACCCATCGAGGTTACGTGTGTTTTTTGAAGTCCTCCGCTGACAAGTTACTCGTTTTCAATTGATCGCAGGCTCAACTTTAAGTAGATTTCTTTGCAGTGGTTACAAGTTTATGTTTGATGTAAATTATAAATTTATTAACGGGAGCTTCGCCTTTAGCCTTGCCTAAAATTTGTCTATTACTCTGGGTAACGCATTTTATTTCTCTCAGTCTTCGTCATGAGCTGAGTCCGTAAATAAAATCATGGTACTAAAAGTCGCCACTCCTTTGGTACTGTGGATAAAGGTAATCTGTAAAAGCTGATATTGCTGTTTAATGCGGTACTTATTTTTGATCTCGTGATGAGATCCTGAAATGTGGGATCATTTGACGAGGTTTCGGGGTAACTGATCACCTAACCTTGCAGGACCTTCTTCAACAAAAGACAACTGCTTGTATTTGACTAGTCCAGTTCTGGCCCCTTTCTCTCTCGTCACGCAACGCCTCTCTCCCGGAGTTTAATGGCATTTACAGACAGAAAGAATATTCCAGGTATCTTGATTTTCATTGACTTTAAAAAGGCTTTCGACTCCTTAGAATGGCATTATCTTTTCAGTTGCCTCCAGGCTTTTAATTTTGGCCCCAATTTTATAAATTGTGTAATAAATAATGGATGGCATCAGAATATTTTACTTTAGAACGTGGTGTGAGGCAGGGTGATCCCTTGTCCCCCTACCTCTTTATCTTAGCTGTTGAAAGCTTGGCAATCTCCATTCGTCAAAATGTTGATATCAAAGGAATTAAAATAGAAAATCACGAAGCCAAGCTATTGCAATACGCAGACGATACCACAGCAGTCCTGTCTGATGAGAATTCTGCAAAAACGTTATTTGAAGAACTAGAAGCATTTAAGAACTTCAGTGGGTTGGAGATAAATAGCTCGAAAACAGAAGGAATATGGATTGGTTCGCTTAAAAGAAAAGATGAAAAACCGTTTGGTCTTAAATGGCCCAGTGAACCCATAAAAGCTTTAGGAACCTTTTTTACATATGACCAATCATTACTTTACGAAAAAAACTTTCAAGAGAAGGTTGACAGCATAAAGAAGCTGACAACTATATGGTCATCTAGAGGACTGTCCATTTGTGGTAAAGTAACTATAATCAAATCATTACTTATTCCAAAACTAGTTTTGATATCTTCGGTTCTTTCACCTCCAAGTAAAATCATAAAACAAGTAAATAGTGGGATTGCAGAAAGAAACAGGTACTTCCAAACATCGAAGGCTACAAATTTAAAGTAAGAATTAAATACCAAGTTGAAAAATCTATTTCCACTAAGAATAATAAATTAGAAACCTTTTATGAAAAATGGCCAAAAGACATTTCCCCACTTTAATTCAGTTCGTGTGCATGTATAATTAAAATTGTAATCTTTTATTAGACGGGACTAGTATTTGGCTCACTCTGTTGTTCTTTGTTTGCCGGAGTTGGCTCCTCTTTTTCACTCTCTTGTGTTATTACAGTTATCACTCTAATTCAGTGCTACACCCATTTTACACCAGACGCTTAGTGCAAACAAATGCTGACATAAGTATTCTCTGATTGCCAACGACAGACTGATTAGCATGAAACCTTCGACATAATTGCTTTTGCAAAATGGCTTTTCTATAATATCTAATTTTGCACATTTAGCTTAGGTCATCTGGTTAACACAAAGCTAGGGGAGCAAAATCAAAACTACAAAGACTTGGCTTCTGAATATAATTTTAACTGTAAGAATAAGAAAGGTACCAAAATCACAGTTTTAATATCACGTCAAGTAGTCGATCTGCATAGGGTGTTAAGCCTCTTCATCGAAAATGATTAGCTAAACTTTCCCTTAAACCGGGAGGAAGAGAGCAGAGTACCATTTGCTTTGAGAGACAAAATTTAAGAATTTACCAAGTTAAAAAAGCTTAAAAGTTGATGTTTAATCTTACAAAACCTTCGGTGCTTTCTTTTTAATTGAGATGTTGGTTTTAGATTGTCTTAAAGTCTTTAAATGTTACAAAATCAATTAATAAAAACGTGAAAATTTTCATACTTACCCAGCAGGTTTGCTTTCAGCTCAGTAGCAGTCAGCAAAAGACAGATCGAGTAAAATGCGAACATGGTAGATGGGTGAGTGCTGCACAAACCAAAAACGATGCGCAATTAACAGTCTAATGAGTAGACTGAACTAACAGTTTCGTGAGAAAACATTTTCATTATCATTTTGGAAACATCACGTTCTAGTTCGTCGGTCACGCCCACTAAATTAAGTTGTGAGTTTTAATCGATTTTTGTCTTGCTCCAAAGTTACAACGCCAGGACAGAAAAATTTAAATCTCTGTTCTAATTAAAAGTTCCTTCGTTTTGTTTTGTTTTTTTTGTTTAATTCAATATTAAAGCAATAAGTTTTGTCACTTCGTGTGTATTATCCTGTCAACTGTTTGCTACTGTCGCTTTGATGTTAACTTTTTTCTCAGCATTTCTTGACTTGTTTCCAGATTTTTAATGAATCTTTAAACAGGTGGTTAAACAAGGTTATTCTCAGCTGAGTGACAATTGCGATATCGCATGGTAGTAGCCTCCAAAAAACAAAATTCACTTTGTTCTCAAGGTCGTTGTGTTTAGTGTCTACTCATCGCGAACTGTCAACGTCGTGTTTACAGTTATCATCATCATCATCATTATCATCATCATCACTATGATCAGATTCTTGCATACTAAAATTTTTAGTTTCTGCAGCAGTATAAAATAACTATTGCCGCGATTGATCATAAACGTGCCAATTCGTGACCATTCTTAACTTGTTCATCAGGCGCTGAAAAAAACTGGCCGTTGTCGAGAGGTTATTTTGGCAGTTGGGGACATGCGTTAGTGGCCGTTGCTGTTGTAGAGAGGTGGCCGTTTTGGAGAGGTTTAAATAAGAGTCAATGTATGGACTGTCCGCTGGGACAAAATAAAGTGGCCGTTGTGGAGAGATGGCCGTTAGTAGAGTTTCGACTGCAAGTCTTTTTAGGGCCCTTAACGAAAAAAAAAATCGCCAACCTACTGTAAAATTCCGAAAATAAGCCCCTCCATGTATAAGCCCCTCCAAAACCGGTAACGCAAAAAACCCTCCGTTAAATCGCCTCTCGAAATATAAGCCCCCCGGGGGCTTGTGCTTGGAAAATTGCCTGCAAATACAAAGTAAAACAAAGAAAAAATGGAAAATGTTTTTCCTACTTTAAGGCTAGCCCAATGGATTTTGAAACGCAAATTTCCCTCCGTAGATGAGCCCCTACGTATATAAGCCCCTCCAAAATAAGCCCCTCCAAAAGGGCCTTTGAAAAATATAAGCCGGTAGCCGGTAGTTCGGTATCCTTTTTGGGCCAGGTTTCCCACTGTTATCAAAGAAATGGCCAAAAAATGGGATTTTCAATGCCTTTTAAAAGTTTCCCTGCTGAATTACATTCAATTAAGCTTCGTTTTGTTTTCAGCGCAGGCGCTTTAGCCAAAATTTGGACTTGTTTTCATTTTTTCGAATCTATTTCGATCCTTCTTTCTCGCTCTCATACTTTCCCTTTCCGTACATTTCTATATCTACTTTTGTTGGCCACTTTATCTTCTTTCTTTCCCGCGGAATTTTGTTGGGCTAACTTTCCGATCCTGGAAAAGACAGGAATTTTATCTGGAAAGGATAGTAGATCTGGTGGCGGCGAAATTGGCAGTGGATTTTTCCCAAAATGTCTGGCAGAATTGGTCAGACTTTGCTATTGAGGTGTATGTACAAAGATCAATCCTTCCTCAATTCGTATCTCAAAAACTTAGTCACTTAAACCGAAAGCTAAGTCAGTTCAGAAATGCATTATCTGCATCGTTCCAAATTGTCCCGAAATGAGTGGAACCCGATCCGTAGCCAAAGGTTAATTACGCGAGCGCAAGGAATAACACAACTTAAAACTTTACGGATATTGTGAACCTTAGTTATATAATCAATTTCCTAAATTGTGAGTATAAAACAAAGAGACAAAAGAAAGGTTTACTGCACAATTTTATTTCATTGTTTGTAAGGATGAACAGCTCTTCAATGCCTTTTAGCTCCCTCAATATTTTCTTCCAGCTTATGCTGCGGAAAGAAAAGAGAAAACAAAGACTCATTAGTTATCTTCCATAAAGTCTGAAGTGAAAACAAGTAACTATTATGCTCGTCATCACACACTCTACTTGCCCACCGGGCCTTCTTGTCACGTTCTTTGACTCTGTGCGAGGCGCAGACTTTTTTTTGATAGATACTTAATACCGCAATAGTATTTTTGCTTGATCAGAGAGCGAGTTTGTCCAAAAAAAGGCAATTTTGAGTGAAGTGAATCTTTATTTCACGGTCCATGGTGTTACTTTTAAGGTCAAATCTTGAATGTGATGTGGATTGCCTCTTTTACCGTATAAGGGCTCCCGTGTGACCAGCCTACCACTGTTCTTTAACCCTTTAAGCCCCAGTATCCACATACAAATTCTCCAAACTGATCTCCATGCATTTCCTTAAAGAATGAGTTGACAGAATTTGATAAAAGATCAAGGCATTTTTGCCTGGGTGATCACTTTATTAATTCTAATAACTTATCTGTTGACAGTGTGTGGATATTGTTAGGAGAAAATTGATCGTGGTCACTATTGGCAGTTAAAAGGTTAATCTCTTAAGCACCACCGTCATCATACAATAAATTCTCCAGACTGATCTCCATACATTTCCTTAATGGATTAGTTAGTCTTCATAATGCATTGATTAATTCATTTTAAAATTCATGACATGGCATTTAACTTGTTAGGAGAAAATTGATGTTGGTAACTCTAGGGTAGCATGAATTTCATCCGATTACTTCGAGTCGTTATTACTCCCTCAGTAACGACGTTGCTGAGGGAGTAATAACGACTCGAAGTAATCGGATGAAATTCAGGTTAACTCTAGGGACGTAAAGGGCTAAATTGACACGAGGTGCCACCGAAGGGTGTACCCTTAAGCGTAGCTTGTGAGCTAGCCCTCCGGGGCTCTCTGGCAGAGGGATGCTAGATCAAGAGAAGAACATTGAAAAAGTGGTAAACCACCGCGAACGCCTGATAGAACGAGATATCTGAAACAATTTTGCAAGCTTTGTGGCCTAACTAATGTTCCGAAAGCGTTTTGAAACGAGCAAGTCCTGAACAGCTCATTGGGTCTCTCTTGTTCTTTTTGCACGGACTACAAATTGAACAGGTCGCCCCATGTAGGGGAATCCGGATTCCGGAATCAGAGAAATATTCGCTTGTGGAATTCGGGGATCCTGAGCTCTGGAATCCGGAATACAGCTCAAAGTCTTTTAACGAGCAATCTGCAAGCTACTTAATCACAAAATAACTAATTTGGTCACCGAAGAACACATGCTTCCACGGAAGAATTATTTTCCTGGCACATACTAACCGACAACTTGAGTTCGTCCTTGTATCTCTTGTATTTGCTCCTGCGTTAAGGCTTCGTTGTATATCTGCATCTGAGCGATTCTTCCTTTAAAGTACCTTCCATCACCAGTCTTCACTCCCATCCTGATGCTGTCCTGTGTGGCTAGGTCCAGTCCTGCTCCAATGTTCAGAGTCTGAACCACGGCTCCATTGACCCACAGTTTTGCATCACCTGTACCACGGTCGTACGATGCACCAACAAATTTCCATCCACCCGCTAAAGCGGTGTGTATTAGGGCGTTGGTGAATGAATAATCACGTCTTGTGAAACGAACAAACAGTTGGCCGGCCACCACCCATAAGTGCACTCCCCAGGGTCCGCCTGTCCTGTAATTGAAGAGAGGTCCGTCTTGGCCATTGTGGTACACCCAACAAAGCATTGTCATGGAGTAACGAACGTCTAACGGTCCCCCGGCGCTGTTAGGAAATTCGATATAGCTGTTGGCATTTCCGGCAAATTCGTAGGAACCTTCAGCGACTCCGTCGGGTCCAGCACCGAAAGTAACTCCACTACTGGCGACCCCTGCGGCTACCCTGTTGTTGATTTCCTTGGTACTAGAAGCGGAATTAAGAGGGAAAAGGGCAACAGGATCTGGAACTTGATAAAACAAAGTAAACGAAACATTACTACTTGTTTGACTTGTCTAGTAACAAGCGATAATTGGGTTCGAGACTTAGGCAATGCACAATTTCAAACCATGGCTCAAAAATACCTCCCAATGTGGTGAGGACATGGCGAGTACTACCGCAGCGTATAAGTGAAACCTAGTCATTGGGGGGAGGGGTCGGGCGGGGAGCTTTGTCTGCGTCCTTTTAATTTATTAACGTGGGAAGGAATTAGCGCTGGGCCTGCGTGCTAGTGGCGTTAGGAGGGGTAGAAGGACGGGTAAATTGGGCGCGCCCTTCCCCGTCCCCTTTTAACGTCTGCCACGCAGGTTAAGGGGCTGTTTACATGAAGGCACCAGGAAGACCCTAGAATTCGTACGGACCATCTTAGCGCCATATGTTTTCTGTGTTCAGTTTATATGCAAATAGATGTACTTTTGCCTAGCGCCAGGATCTTTCTAGCTGAAAGGTAGGAAGATCCTAGCACCATGTAAACTGCTTTCGCATGGAAGATCCCAGTCCAGGAACAAACCGTACAAAAATGGCGGCGGGTCGTTCAGTGGGCTATGTTTTATCTTTGATTCCTTCTCTACTGTTAACCTCACGGACAAAAAGTTCTGCATGTAAACCCAATGAAAAGTTGTTCCGCATTCTAGGATCTCACTCCGGCCCACCATATAAGCAGCCACTAAACCCATTGACGCCTCATAATCACATTAACCCTTTAAGCCCCAGCATCAATATGCATCTTCTCCACACTGTTCTTCATACATTCCTTATGGTACTACTGGAGAGAATTTGTTCTAACATTACAACATTTCATCTTTGGTGATCATTTCATTCATTCTCATGACCTGTCTGTTTAAACAGGCAGTGTTATTGTTGGGAGAAATTGTATGTGGGTCACTATTGGGGCTTAAAGGGTCAGCTGAAGGGTTAACGAATATGTAAGAGAGCTCCACTCCTGAGCCTTTTAATTGCCCGTGGAGATGTTCCACTATACACTGAACAAACTTAACAAAAGGATGTAGACGAATTCTTAGGAAAAATCTCTCTTTAACTTACGTACCAAATATATCTTGACAGCCAGGATCTGTTCGGAATAAAATGAAGCAATAAATATTACTTATTAGTTTCCCGCGGAATCTTAATCTAAGACTCGGATCGGTCCTCAAATACGCTGCCCTGCCTGAAGTCGGTCCCTTAAGCCCTAAAAGCGTTTGTGAAGCCATGATACTTGCAATAAGACAGCTTATAGGATTTTATTATATAGACACGAGTGTTTTACTGGAAAATATACCACTCGTAAATTTCATAAAAACTACATCCGGGACCCGAGTGGTTTATTTTCCATAATCTCACACGTGAGTTTATCGATGACGTAATTTTGGTAATTTCCCTCTATTATTTTATCGATGTCATTTTGTCTATATAATAAAAAGAACATTGCGCTCGTTCGTAAAATATTGTTTTGCCACTCGAAAATAAAATTCATATCTTCGCTCCACCGTGTAATATCCTCTATATATTGTAACAACTTATCAAAACTGATATAATCCATGCTTCCATTTTTCCCCAGTATTTTGCAAAATTAAATTACTGAAGAGAAGGCCTATTCAAACGAAGTCTAACTTTGAACGCGGCCTACGAAAATAAAAAAAAAAACTCCAATAACTTCCCAGGAATAGTCTGAGGTTGAGAGAAACAGACGCAGACGCAGCTTGGCCTCTCGCCTCTCTTTAGGAGCGTAAGCAACAACGACGGCTACGAAAACGTCACGTATAAAATGAAGTCGCGCTGTTTTGGAATTTATGGCGCTCAGTATTTCGTCTCCTTCACTTCAATTAGTCTTGTTGGCAATTTATTCGGAATTGAATTCTAAAAGACTTCGCACCATATTGTTTAGGCCATCCTACTTTTTTTTTTTCGTTTAGCGTCGAATCCGTTTCCTGATGTTGGGTCGGTCGGTCGGATTGAAAAAAAAAAAAAAAAAAATCACAAGAAGTCGCGGAATAAGGCCCAGTTCAGACGTCGTGCCTCTGCCGGGTCGAACTTAATTGTAATTCGGTTCGACTGTAGTACGGCAGGAAAACAACTTTAATTCAGGCGTCGTGCCAGAGTCGAACCAAATTCAGGATTTACTGATGCCTCTTAACTCTTCTTTTGTCGAACTTAATTGCTTGCCGAACTTAATTCAAAAGTTTGATTCAGACGCCGTGCTTCTGCCGTGCTTTTGTCGAACTTAATTCCTGAATTTAGTTCGGCACGGCAGAAGCACGACGTCTGAACTGGGCCTAAGAGGCACTGGTACCCCAGGACGACGTCAAACTTAACATTCACATATATTTGGATTAACAAAATGCACAGTATACTGTAAAAAATGTTCAGGTTTTTGTTCCTGTTTTTCTCTATGCTGTTACTATGCTCATTTTTCAGAATAAAAGAATTATTTCAAGTGAAAAATGATTGAACTACGTCGTTACTTCAGTTTTGTTTTTTTTTGACATTGCCAAAAATTTGGGTCGGTCGTACAACGCTAAAAGGAGAAAAAAAAGGAGATGGCCTTATAATGTCGGGGGTATACTGTAAAAAATGTTCATGTTTTTGTTCCTGTTTTTCTCTATGCTGTTACTATGCTCATTTTTCAGATTAAAAGAATTATTTCAAGTGAAAAATGATTGAACTACGTCGTTACTTCAGTTTTTTTTTTTTTGAAATTGCCAAAAACTTGGGTCGGTCGTTCGGACGACGCTAAAAGGAGAGAAAAAAAAGGGGATGGCCTTATAATGTCGGGGGTGTTTTCAGATAACTTCGTTTTAGAATCTGTTTAGCCATGATAAAAATTCAAAGTAGACAGACTGCAAATTATAGTAGTTGCTAAAAAATATATCTACGTGTCCCAACTGTTCATCAGTAGGATGCCTTAGAGGACTTAGAGATTTTGAGGAAACATATAGCGATTTTTAAAGGCTTCCTTTAGCTTACGTGTTTTTCAACGTAAAATTTCATTCATTTTTCTTCATCGTTTATCATTTATCATGTCAAGCAGCTTTGCAAACAAATCGTCGTCTTGTTAAAAGAAGACACGAACAAACTAATTTGTATGAAAATTAAGGCATTATTAGAAATACGTATACTAAATTAAAAGAAAACTGCTCCGGGAATTCTTCTTAATTTTTTAAGAGCTATAGTCATTGCTAAAATTGATAACAGAGCAAATTGTTTCATCTGCTACATAGGCATGTAGAAGTCGATGTAAAAAAACCAAGCTTGACTGCGCTTCCTCCCTTCCTCGAACCTTTGGAAGGTGCATGGCTGTAAACTTAAGTCAACGGATTATATTCTCAAGTGATCTGATAGCTAGAATAATAGCAAACGGTCGAGGAGCAACTCCGTTTGTAGCGAGGGATAAAATGCGACCAGGCAAAAGACGTTAAAGCTGTGCCACATAAACTTAAATGTTTACTGCGTGATTTCGTTTTTGGCGCAAAAGTAACTTAAATAACTGTTACAGAGCTAAAAATGTAACTGTTACGAGAAGCAACAGTAGTTACGCAGTTGTATAGTAGTTGCAGGTAAAGTAGTATGAATTACATATCCAGTGATCACATTATAGGAGTATAGAATGGTACCTCAAAAAACGTTGGTCTCGCAAAATTTTGGCCCGATCTCGAAATCTCGTAAGCGTTTTTGATGTGTCTCGAAGTCTCGTTTTCGGGTGATTTTTGAGTCTCGGAGCCTTGATTTTTTTTTAATGCCGGGAGGAGTCTCGAATTTGTCGTTTTTTCTTTCCGTTTGGTCTTCAGAAGTCGACTTTTTCAGATATCATGGGTAGAGCTTATTGAACTGAGCTAGCAGATTATTAAGACAGTCTTCCATCGGCATTTTCGGTCATTTTCTTTAGTTTTATTTGTACCATTATCTCGAAATTTTCGGCGCTTAGAGTCTTGGGCTCAAAATTGATAAAAACGCATCGTAAGTCTCGGTCTCGAATTTTGAAATCGGTCGCGCAGTCTCAGGCGTAGCAGTTACAGTTAAAGTAGTATGAATTACATTGTACATATTCAACTGTTATCACTCGGTAATTATTGAGCGATTGATCGTAATTCTCAAGGGCGTGAAACCATATTAGTTTGACACTCCACATTAACATGCAACCCTCTTCAAGTCCCAAACGTTTGTAAAACGGACCTCAGTATCAAGCGTAGGTGGCCGTTTCGAAGCGGCCAACCAAAAGTTACAAGTTTCTACGAAAACGACTCAGTTTGTTTTTCTCCTTACTTAATGAAAACTTTCATTCTTACCTAGCTGTGCGTTCAACTTAGCAGCAGTCAGCAGAAGACAAAAGTAAAACGCGAACATATTAGATGTATTAGATGAGCGTGTGCTTCACAGAGCAGAGACAATACACAATTAACGGTTTAATGACGATACCGAACAAAGTGTTTCACCATAAAATGTGTTCTTTGATTCGCAAATATTGGCTCCTAGTTTAATAGTCACGCCCAATTAAATTCAATCTCTTTTTTAAGGTTAAGTTATAAAGCAAGTACAAAAAAGTAAAGATGAATGAGGAAAATATCCATAAACTTTTCATTGACAAATAAACTAAATATTTGTGCCACTTAAAATGTCCTTAGTTTTCGTATTGAAGCCTCAGTAAAATCGTGTCAACTACAACTGAATCAATTTATCTGATTGCATTCAGAGTTGTATAATGAGACATGTCTTAAAATCAGTATTCCAGTTCATTAATATTAGAAGCTGACTTTAAAAAGCTAGAGCTTTTCACACATTTTTCATCTCTTGATTTTGTTTCTACAAATTAAAATGATATGATTTGTCTCTTTAGCTTTTTTATTTTATAATCATGGCGATGTTTTTACTCATGCTGTACTTTGTAAGGATTTTTTCTCATTTAGACCTTGACTATTGTTGACTTAGTTACTAATTTTTAATGAATCTAAAAAAGGTGGTCAAACAAGGTTACTCGCTGCTTAGCAACTGATTATGCCGATCAGTTGATTCGGCTTAATCCGCTTGCACATCTCCCATAATACATCTTATTCCCTTCTCCCTCCACCCCCCTCCCCGCAAAAAATGCATACCCTTTGTTTTTAATTCCTCCTGGGAATTACAGTTGTCCCTAGAGAAATTGAGGACAATGCTTATGTAATTTTTGGGGGGGGGGGGATATATCGTTATTAGTTTGTAGTATACGTGCGATAGTTTCAGAGGTGCCTCTGATGTACAGTATAGTCGCTGTGGTAACAGGGCCAGTTTCGTAGGCACCTATGAAACTATCGCACATATACTATTAAAGCCTAACAACATGGGCGTTGCACACAAACCGATAAACACTTTACGACGACTACTTACTAATGTCAAGGACAAAGAAAAACCGGAGGACAGACAGGGAGCGGTATACAAGATCAAATGCTGCGGCTGCCGGGCCACTTAGATCAGTGAAACACGCACGGAAACGTTAGCACGCGACTGACTCAACACAAACGAGCGAAAAGAAATGGTGATGTCAAAGATCACATTGCTGAACACCATTTGCAGACGAAACATTAAATCGACTGGGACTCTACGACATGTATTACATATTGTACAGACTACCATCAACGATTCTCTTTAGAAAGCTGGTTTACTACTGGCTTAGAAAAAACGCCACTGAATCGTAGTCAACAGTTACCTGCACGGTACAAACGACTTATTGACGGACTGAGCAAACAAACTACGAGGGAATGACTGGACAACTGAAAATTTGACTAACGATAAACGACTGTTTAACTGTGACAATACTCGGATCAAAGCGCACCAATGACATCACGAGTCTACATAGCCAATAACATCACGCCTTAACAGACCGATGACCAATAACATCATGACTGACCATGACTTAATTGACCAATCCGATCAATAACCAGCGTTTAATACCATCACCTGACGTGATACAACTCACTTTGACTCTGAAGATGACTACCGGGCACAGGTTGTCGAAACTCCAGTCACTGTCAACAACAGTCTTATTCAGGACTTCGTTCACCCGGGCGATCATTCTCAACCTACTTATGAAATAACTCCTGGATTCAAACCTTTCACAAGTAAAAGATTCTTGCAAACTGTGTGTTTTCTTTATGTATTAAAAATGAGATCTCTTAAAAATTCGCACATTTTCAGAACAGTAAAAGACTGAATTAAATTAAGGCACTGAATGGGGCCATCTGATACAAAACGGAATCAGTATAGTAAGGCGACAGATAGAGGAGAAAAAGCTCACTTATTTAAATATACTTAATAATACTTCTTCAATGATATCACGCTTATTCTAAAATTATGACCAGTGCCTACATGCATATCACCCAAGGTTTCAAATAACTGGTCATTAATTGTCCTATATTTATTGAGTAAAATACAGTCCTTTTTACAAAAGTGTCTGCCACTTAATTCAGACAATTGCTCCATGTTTGCACAGTCATGGTATAGGATCAACTAGCTGTTGCATGAGCGGGTGTGTTCGCCATTCGTCTCATAGTCACTTTCATCCAATGGTTATTCACGTTCTTAACAGATGTCATTCGTGACCGTGCTTACACCAACCAGATTGCTATTACCAACATCATCACCAAATAGTTTTTCGTATAATACGCATACATGAAAATAAGAAGGTTGTACATCACAGCCACCACCAAGCCTGTTGTGTTATGAGCTGGCTTCCTTACGTCGCGCGGGTCACCTGCATCGACCATTCCGTCGTTGAACTGTTGTTTTTTGTGTTTCTTTTTCTTCCCACTGGCTGAAGACAACTGTTCAAGAGATTCGACCATATTCATCTTGAAATAATTCCTGGGTATTCAGTTTTTTTTTCAAAGGTTTTTAAAGGCTTGTGAAATGTCTTCGGAAAGGCCTTCTCTTTGGTTAACAGAATTATTCTGATTCCACATCTCATGTAGTTAAACTCGTGAAAAATTAAAATGAGTTCTGACTGCAAGATTAATTATGTTGATAACGTGACAAACAAAGTAAGTTCATATTTTAATCACTTCATTTCTAAAAGGCAATTATTATATCACAGTAAAATTACTACCTAGGCCAAAGTTGAAGTATTTACTCAAAACTTTTAACATTGAAAAATTTGATCGACCTGGTAATTTGTATGGGTAAAAAAAACCTATGACTTATGTTAGCAAATTTATTAGACAGATGCAATTAATTTTTGAACAAAAAACCGCAGCCAAGATCTGTTCAACTGACAGAATTTTCCTCACGTGTTTTAGATTCTCAGCGTAGCTGTAAACACGCAGGAGCTGACGTTAAACGACTTTGATCATGAAAATAATGTAGAAAATCAAAAATGTTTCAACAATATAAAGGGCGACTTTTATACAAGTTTTCAAATAATGCTGTTATCTAAAAGAGGGTGATTGAGTACATCTTTGCTGATAGTTTAAAAATAAATTAAATAGTTGAGTTGTTTGAGACTATGAAACTTACTATGCTAAAGAAGATCAGTTCAAGATATGAAATTGGATCTTGCGGATCTATTATCCTGTTTTATTTGCATTTTTAATACTATACTTCTATATTTCAGGACTGTTTTTGGGTTTATCACAAGGTTCATTTAGAACCCACATATTTCCTATACACTAGAGATGATGTAAACGAAAAATTGTTCTTTCGAATGCTGCATGATTCCAGCTGTTACTTGTCTTCTAAACTGCATGAAGCCCTTTCTAATTTAAATCAGTCTTCACCTCGTGGTTTTTGCTGAGAAACCAAGATCCTGTTATTTTGGGTAGTTTTTGTAATGCCTTTATCTTTTCGAACTCATCTGAGGGTCTTAGTAGCCAAATCCTTTATAAAACAGAATATAATTATTATTATAATTAATGGTGATTCTCCTTATAAACACAACCCGAAGCTCTAAAATTTTCAAGTACAGCATTGCTTTCGAATACTCAGTCCACAATCATGGCAAGTCCAAGATACAAATTTTCGTGCTGGAAGGTGGAAAATCGCTGGAATGCATTTTCTGGCCAATCAAAAGCAAGCAAGCTTGGAAAGTCCGTAAGGGTTCTCCATTCCTAGCTTTAGTTATAAACTTCGCTACGAAGACTTCGCACGCCAGCATACTCAATAAGCTGCTCTTTCAGCGGGTCTGCGAGGATGGCAGGATGACACTGCTATGTTAACTGTCCATACAACCCCACTTCACCAAACTTTAACATCGAAATGATGTGTGAGATCAAGAGCCATAATGGGACCATCATGTACCTACGGGGGAACTCCGATATGAAAGAATCGGCGACCCTCGTAGTCTCGTTTGGGAGTGTAAACTTTCAACAGCCGAAGGTTTTCAGGAAGAAAAGCTAATATTTTTACCAACGCAAAATTATCACTTAGGGTATTGACAAGTATTAAGAAATATATACAAAGAAAATCAAACGCCGTCATTCTTTGAAACCGACAGAATAAGTATCATAATTTACTGCAGCGTACCCGCAGGGGACTCCTATATGAAAGAGTCTGGGATGCTCGTAGTCTCCCTTAGGAGTGTGAAATTCAGCCTTGAGGTTTCTTGGAAACTGACCACCTACCCCTCACCTAAGCCAACATAAACACTTAGTCCACACTTAAGGCAAAATGTTGGCTTAGGGAAGGGGTAGGTAATCAGTTACCAAGAAACCTCCTGACCCACACACTATATATCACAAAGGGAATTCACACGTGTTAAGAAATATATACAAAGAAATCAAACACTTTCATTCTTTGAAACCGGAATCTAAAGTTTCATTAACTTTGGCGCGTAATCATTTCAAGATCAAAAGAAAATCGCCCTATAAATAAATTACGGACGCGTTATAAGTTATAACAGCGGCACGTAAACATTGCAAATGGAAGGGTCACGTGACACAAATCTTGGAAACTCATGATGATGCATTGTTTCATATGCACTATGAACAATACAAGGTGCAATAAATGACCAAAGCACAACTCAGTAGACTGCAAAACAGTCGGTTTTGTCTTCTCAAAATTAGTAAAGAAATCGGTAAAGCGTGGCGTAAGAGACCGTTTGTTTGACTGCTCGCGCTTACTTGAATACGCAAAAATACGGACTGTTTTGCAGTCTAACAACTCAACGATCTCATGAGAATTCAGACGCACAGTCAAAGAATCCACTAAACAGCACATTGATCTACCTGTAAGTTTTTGATGACATTAATCGCAATCCGCGTGTGGTCATTCAACCAACGACATAGAATGCATTCGCTTAGAACTCATTTAGACGTGGGGTTAATATTGCCAAGGTCAAGACACTTGAACCTGGCATGGGATGAAAAGACACAATAATCTAATTATACTTTTATAGAGTCCGACATGCACGTTTTTGCCTTTTTGTCAACCTTCCATTTATATCATTTTATACCTTGTAGCCTTCTTATCTCATTCCTTCCTCACTTAGTTTTTCTAACCCTTGATCAGGGCTAGTATTTCCTTTGTCCGCAAAACCTCTTTACACACTACCCTATACCCTGAGCAATATCTGTATGGGTAAAAGTTATATATAGCCTTGGCTTTGGGTCGATCCTGAACGAGCTATCCGCAATTAGCCTGAGTATCAGGCCTTCCTAAGGGGCTAAGGGAGAGGAGATTTTAGATGGGGGGAGGGGGTGGCTATCCGCAATTGACGTAGCCTGGGTATCAGGCGTTTCTGGGGAAAGGGGGAAGGATGGAAGCGAAAAAGGGAGAGAGCTTTGCTTCTCCCCCTCCCACTTCCCCCATCTAAAATCTCCTCTCCCCTAGCCCCTTAGGAAGGTCAGACACTCAGGCTCCAATAGACGTGGCAACCCTTACCCAGGCATCCCCGTATCTTTTCATATGGGAGTCCTCCACCGCGTACTTTATGTAAGAAAGACCATTGGTACGGTCGGTACGAGGTTGGTTTCTTACAAGCCATAGTCGAGTCCCCTGTTAATAAGCTTTCTTATATTGATCTAACATATTTAGAACAATTAAAAGTTAAAAATTCAAAAGAAGAACTATAATCAGGACATAACGGGGGGTGGGGGGCGGTCATCCAGACCCTTAGATAAGGAGGGGGCCCGGTCTCGAAAAGATGTTTTCGGCCCCTCGGGCCTCAGTTTGGTCTAAAAATAAGTTGGGGCCGGGGTTCCCGGGCCATTCCCCTGTATTTGCCAATGTACGTAATACATGTAAACAAATTTCCTTCAAAAGGTAATATGCGATTAAACAATGACTGTTCACCAAGACACGCTTAAAATTCCTAGGGGATTCAATGGTTGTTAGTGGAGGCTAATTTTCTTTGCATCTATAATCGTCTCCAATTGGAAATCTTAGAATTATTTTCAAAAATAAGCGAAGCAACCGGCAGCTCGTGGTTTTTTCGAAGTTAATTGAGATGAATGAGACCGGTCAACCCTGTATACGTATTAGACTGTCTGAGCCGTCTGTATTTCAATGAGTTATATCGGTACGTGCTTCTTGTGTTTATAAAGATAATCCTGTAATTAATGTTCATTCTAAAGACAACAATCAATTCCATACTTGAAAATAGGAAACCTAAGACGTTCTTTCTGCCGCTAGCCAATAAAATGTCGAGAATCGCCGTGAACTTGATATTCAGTGACCTCTCTGAATATTTGTCTCAAAGGGTTTTACGTTTTATCGCCACTATTGCTCAATTTCTTTTGTGATACTCTCAAGTTCGTGCAACTGAGCTGTGCTTCTTATCTTTGAGAGGTTCCACTGCAGTATTAAGATCCGAGGTAAGTTTGTAGACAGAGTGGCCAGTTTTAACAGCACTTAGTTCACGACTGAAAATTATGTGAGAATTAATCCAGCTTGTTTTGATTAGACCATTGCTGTCCATATAGCCTCTAACCTCTGAGACATCTTATAGACTAAGATTCATTTAAAAAATGCACCTAAAATTAGGTGCACAGTATTGTTACAAACTTTCAGGGAACGCTTGACAATTTTATTCGGCTTCCTTGAGAGGTAAGAGGGCAACTGTTAAAACCTAACTCGATGAATCGAACTGAACGGACTGTGCATGTGCTAGTATTTAGCCCGGGGTATTTAGCAGCTTTTTTTAAGTGTCTTGTTGTCCGTTTTAGGACCATCTAACCTATGACTCTTGACAGTAAACAAATAAATTTAACATCTCGAATGGAACCACCGTGGGCCGGGATGCCATATAATTCAAGCTATTACGTGAAGCTCATCGAACTGTCTGACAAGGAATACTGTCTCGCAGCTATAGTGTCTATTATATTCAGACATAACATTTTAAAAAGTTTCTTATTTTTTGTCGATGTTGCGTGTGTAATTCCTATCACTTTTGCTCCATTTCAATTCAGGCTCTCTTTTAAAAGAGGACTCAAAGAGAGATCTCACTTATTGACCATTTTTACGACTGATTTTCTCTGGACGGGCGCGGCTTGAATCCGCGCGCAGTTCACGCACACAAGCTAACATTTCACTGTCTAGGGCCTGTTTACATGGAGGTGGGGGACCCCAGATGGGTGAGGTAACATGTGGCGGGTCACCCCACCTATCATGTAAACGTGATAAAATTTAACAAGTATTACGAGATTACAGAAGATTCAAACGTCTGAATCACGTAGATCATGTATCACCAATACAAAACATACCGTTGGCGATGCAATATAATAAAATATTGATGTCTCGGTGTAATGACACTGACAAGCTCACAAAGGTCTTTCTTTACTCTGCCAAGTTCAGTCGTGGATAATGCCAACTTTTTTTGTTCTTCCAAGCATTTCCTCTCTTTGCCTCTCCTGCCTTTTTTCTATGCCCCAATCTTTTACCGGGGGGTACTCAACAAAGCCTTATACGGGGAGGTTCCGCCCTAGGTCCGACTCCTCACCCTTTAAACCATTCAGGGACAAAAGAAAGTACCCCTTTCATATATCTTTTATATTTGCAAATTGTATACCTCTTTCACATATGTAGTTTAGAACTCTGTATCCCTTTTGCGTTTTAATTGTGTAAATGCACTACCTTTATTAAAGTATGAAAAAATCACGAAACTGAACGTTTTCTCCACTTTTTCACAGCCATAAAATACATCTGTTAGCCCTTTTTGGCTTTTGTACACAAGAAAATGACAGATTTTTCTATCCTTTCATATACTTCAATGAAATCTAACCCTTTCGTATACCTGAGGCATAATAAAGGTACTCCCGTATGGGCCATTGTAAGACATATCCCCCGGACTTCCCCCACCCCCCTCCTTCCTTTCGGTCCCCTTGAGTGAATCAAATTAACCGTCATGACGAAGATCCTGCTTGTTATAAACGTTGGATCTCTAGAAAAGAGATCTAATCAGCCAATATATTAAGAACCAAAAACGAGAAGTCCAAAGACTTCTACAAAGCTGATCAGGAAAACGTGTATTGTTTTTTCATAACAATATTTCGGCTGGCCATACCAGCATTCCTCAGGTTTACGGAACCTATTGCCACCATGTGCAACTATTAATGAAGAGAATTTGATGCCGCTCGACTAATACACGTACGGGGTATGTTGGGATGGATGAATAATCCTCCTTTTGGTGAGACTTCCAGTCGAGCATGTTTCCATAGCAACCATCTAGGCACTTTTCCCCTGTGCACCTCAAGCTCTAAACTATTCTAATTCTCTTTTGGTGTTCATTATAAAGCATAAATCATGCCAAACAAGTTCCAGAAGGAGTGTTTGGATGCTCACAACAAGTTCCGCGCCGAACACGGCGCTCCTCCACTTAAATGGTCTTCAAAACTTGCGTCCGATTCGGAGAAGTGGGCAAAGGAGTTGCTTCGCAACAACAAACTGCAACACAGTTCTGGGGAATATGGAGAAAATCTTGCCTTTGCATCTGGTAAGAGGAAAATAATACTTTAATTAGAGGTAATCATTGATTACGGATCCGCGTTTGTCCGCGTCGATTCGAAAGGAGTCCAGTTTCCCTGCCGAGATGCCCCCGATAAAATCAGTGGGGGCGGCTAATCAGCAGTCTCCCCCGATACCTTGAAAATTTGTGGCTTTGTACCACAGGAACACCAAGATTGGGATGCGTTCTGACGAACGCGATAAGGTTAATTATAATGAGTATTAACAGGCGGCTCCTGGTATTAATTAGTAATCGAGTGTCAGGAAGTGCGGAAGGGGCTTTAGCTTATAAATGTTTAGTGCTTTGGATTGAATTGTATCATACTGAGGCACTGAAACTTTTTCCTTTCGTCTGTTGCTACGGATAGAAACGGATGCATATGGAATGAATCTTTAAATGTTATGCCCGCAAAAATCACCAGCAAACAATTATTGATCACTACCAAGAGCCATAATGTCCCATTATGGCTCTTGCCACTACAGAAAATACCATAACATACCATAATGCTCTTTGTCGGTGACTCCAAAATTTTGTATAAGCATTGTCTTCAGTTTCTCTCGGAAGTTAAAATGGCTTCAAGAGAAACTGAAAACAATGCTTATGCAAAGCTCTGGGGTGACAAACAAAGAGAATCATGGTATGTTGTGGTATTTCTGTACTGGTCAATGGTTAGTGTTCCCTTATGAAATTAGTTTGATATCTTTTTCTTCCTAACTCTACGGGAGTATTTTGTGCATGGGTAAACATGGTAAAGGCATTAAGTCATGACTCTAGCATAGAGATAACCTAAAACAGCAATATTCTTGTGACCAGCCCCTTTGAATAGGGAGTTTAAGATACCACGACGGCGACGGGCACGAAAAAGTCGCTTAAAAAGTGAATTTGCGTTCTTTCAATCTCTATACCGATTACTCCAACTCAATTTACTTTGCCAAATGTAAGCGAACTCTTTCTGAGCCGAATTCCTAAGAACTATCTTCAATTTAGAATGAGAAAGAAAATTCAGCCGTCGCTTGTTAACGTCCTGCATAAAATGTGAAATTAGGCATTTTCCCGTCGTAGTCGTCCAGTGACAGAAGAGAAATGTACAAAAAACGTGATGCACGTGCAGAGTTTGTTTTGCCTATTCAACCTATTCCCTGCTTTTTGCTGTTCTCGTTGTCGTCACTGTCGTGGTATCTTGAAGTCCCTAATACCCGTACAACGGAAGACGGAGCACTGATGAAGAAATGGGGGTACAGTGCCGTAGCAAGGTTAGATTTATTGGGGGGGCGCCATCACGAGCGCCGAAGGCGCGAGCTGCTAGGGGGTCCGGGGGCATGCTCCCTCGGAGGATTTTGAACTGCAGGGTCTCTGAAATAGCATTTTCAGCCTTCGGAGAGCATTAATTTCCAGCACAAACATTAACCATAAAGGACTGCAAAGGACCACAAATGAATATGCCGAAGAACGCAGGATCTATAAAGACCTGATCAGCAAAAATAATAATGTAGACATATTTAATTCTGCAAGCAGAATACTGCAATGCTGCAATGTGCTTGCAGAATTTAATATGTCTACATTAATTTCCAGCAATTTTTCTTTGTTGAAGCCATGAATATTTAATTTTGACGCTTTATCGAACCTAAATGAACACATTGAACCGAAGAGCAGCGTGAAGAGCGTGGCCGCTGACCAAATTAAACGTGCCTGTCAAAATAATTGGGGGGCCCAGGCCTCCCCGGCCCCTCCCCATGCTACGGCACTGGGGTAAAATGAGGGCACCCACGGTCCCAAGTTTGCTTGTTTAACTGCTGTTAGGAGTTACCGACGTAGAAAAGGCAGTTTACCTTATACCTCTACCTTTGTGCACTTCCCTATTTTTACTTACTCTTCATCCTAGGTTATGAGTTAACAGGAGACGGAGCCACGCAGATGTGGTATGACGAAGTCAGCAAATACAATTTCAAAAACCCTGGGAACTTCGGTGGCACCGGACATTTTACTCAAGTAGTGTGGGTCGCATCTCAAGAAATGGGAGTGGCCAAAGCTGGTGAAGGGGACGGATCACAGTATGTGGTGGCCAGATACTCCCCTGCAGGAAATCTCATGGGACACTACCCGGAGAATGTAAAACCCAAGGGTACTAAGGCAACCGGAGGAGGAAGCGGTAAGCGTAGGCTTTGGGCAACTGATATAAAGTTCCTATTCAAGACTAGTTCCTCGAGAAAGCGAGGTTAATGAATCTGTCGGAATTTGCATCGCTCGTGGCTCCTACGAAATGGCCAAGCGAAGTCTGATCTTTCTTTAGCTTGTTTACAGACCCTCTTTTTTCTCTTCAAAGTCCGTTGAGCACACGTGATAAAAAATAAACCGCTGGGGATTTTTGGACCGCCAGCGCAACGGGGCTAGGGGAACTGTGCGCAAAAACTCCCAACAAAACGCAACTGTATGTGAAAACGGACTCAACATGTATCATCTAACAATAATGTTGCGTCTGTCGTGAGATCGTTTAGATATACCGCGTCTTACCGTCACGGGTATCTTGATTTTCAAATGTACCGAGGGGGCCGGCGTCGGGAATTATAGCTCTTGGGGGGAGGAGGGGCGAGAAAAATATTTTTCTCACTTCCTCCCAAACCGGCCCCGCCCCCTAGGTAGTTTTGACACTCATGCAAGATTGCAGCCCGTAACACAAAGCGCTCGATCTCGATGATCTTACGGAAAAATAGAGGACTGTGAACAGTCTATGCGTCTGTTTGCTCGGAGCTTAAATAAAGAGAGTTGGTTGTACTTTTTTATGCCACCAAATTTATATCAAAAGCTGCAACATAAAACCAATTGATATTTAAAGTATCAAAAATATTAATCTCCGTGTTGTGTTATTAAATTTTACTTATTTCTACAAATCCTCTGTTTTCAGGTGGTGGAAAACGAGGCTGCATCATTTTATGATCAGAGGGTGGTGGTACTAGATTGCGTCACTGGCAAGGACTGCCAGTCTATAAGCTATTTACTAACAAAATCTGCCATTTACATTAGCCTATTAACCATTCTGATTGAAGCGTATGAGTTTCCACTTTGCACTCTTTATTATTGCTTTTTAATCCTCTCACTCTCAGAGAGTGAATAATAGAGTGTTGAATAATTGTAAGGTGGTTCTTACTTTTGAGTCTGTGAGGAAGTCCTGCGGAGTGACCTTTCAAATGAATCCTCTCCTGCAATACTTTCACAAGGGGCTATTTTTTTTTACTCATTTCACAAAATGAATTTTGGAAGCTCAGCTATGGGCCAAGGCTGTTCTAATAAAGTTGTTAATTTAGTTTGAAAACTCTTTGGTGTTACTACTTGGGTGTGGCAATTTCTAGGCAGCCTGGGCAACTTAGCCTCTGAGCAAGCTCTCCATTTCAAGTGAACGCGCGCGAATGACTTCTCGCGATAAAAGTAATCCCTGAATGTAGAGCTTTTTCGCAGACTAGGATTGTGCCATCCTGATTTTGGTTCAGACCTAATTTGGCTTCCGACAAGAGTTTTCTGCCAAACACGTGCGGTAGCCTGGCATACAAAACTATTCGCAAAACTACAGATAAACTCTATCGTTCAAAACAAGGCTAAGTACTTAACCTTTGTAGAAAATGAGTTTTATTTGGATGAGAATAAAAGAATCTTTTTCAAATCAATGGCTTCACACCAAGCCTCGGTTTGAAACAGAGGTTTGAAGCAACTCGGAAATGGCCTCCTGTATGCCTCTTAGTAAAATTGACCAGTAGGCCAATCTTCAGTTCATTTCAGATGCCCTATAATCCTTTTGGTAACTCAATCAGTGAAGAACAGTCGGTTCTTTTCTCTTATATTACAGCACTGAGCACAGGGGCCATCAACTGTGTCACCACGGAGGAGTAGGAGGCTAGACCTACAAATCTGGACCACTACTCTGTTATGATAGCTATTCTTTAAAAGACCCTGCTGCATGACGTTTAAACAAGGTCTGGCACTGAACTAAATGAGCCCTCAATTCCAGTGTCCAGTCCAAGATACAATCCAGTCTTTCCAAGGTCCTTGTACAGTCAGACATCTCGCTGTTACGGACACCTTGCTAATACGGACAGCTGCTAAATCCCCGGAGAGAATTACAGACATTTAACTGAAACAGACTACCGCTATTACGGAATTACGCAGTCCTCGATCTCTCGGTTAAGTTCCGACAGTACAGTTTTATTGTTCTGACTCTCGTTATAACGGACATCAATCAGCATCTTTCGACATTCAGGCAGGATCATCTCAAATTTATTTCCTCCTCTTTGCCACTTTGGTTGAAAAACGTGAGGGTTCCGATTCCCGTTTAAGATGATCCTTCTAAGAAACTGCCGCACTTACTTCCAAGAAACAGTCATGACGTACATAAACTAGATTGTCTAGTACCGCACTCAACGGTTTTTGTGTGACTACAAATTTTCCAGTGACTGCTGTTGGGAACGAAAAAGAAATGCAAGTTCTGTTCTGTCACGAATTGTTTTGTTTGTTAAAAAAGTTCTGACGCTCTTTATATGGGAAAACTGCACCGTCATTGGTTCTGGAGACAATGTACAATATAAATAGATGTAATTCCTCTTATGTCAAGAAATTTTTTCTCACATCCCGTCATTACGGACTCTCGCTATCAACGGACACTAAACTGCGGTCCCGAGGGGTGTCCGCAATAACAGAGTTGACCGTGCATCCATTTTTACGCAATGGAACCTTGAGATAACAAAGGGCCAAGAGACTGGAAAAATATATTCGCTTTGAGGTTTCGTTGAATCGAGATTCTTTTTCGTTAATTCTTCTATCACTGGGGAGAAGAATGACGTTCGTTGTCCCGCGGTCTTCGAGAGAGGCTCGCTTATCCTGGCTTATCGAGGTTCCATTGTGTTAGAAAATTTCTTTTCAGGTCAGACGTGCCTTCATTTCTTCATTATTAGCAACTTTGCGCCTACGTGTTCAGTTCAACAACACGACACTGCGATGACATATTTGCATGAAGTCTCAATGAAAATTCAACAGTTTTTGTCAGGTCTTCTTAGCTCTGACCAATCCGCAGGCTGGCCTTTTATTTTCGGTGTAACCTGTTTGCGTCAAATAATAATGTATTATAATCTGCCAGATCTGAATTCCTTTTGTAAATTATCCGCAATCCCTCGTGACCGACCAAACTTTCGGAATATTGCTACATCGGATAGTGATTTAAAAGTTAATACACGTTTTCTACTTTGGAAAGCAGGAAGTCAGACAAAGTTTCATGTAAGGTCTCAGTAAGGTTAGTGCTCGCTTCTTATTAGATTAGAATTCTCTAGCCACCAATTCCTGAACTGTTACAGTGGAACTTACAACAACACTAGCGGTATTGCCCTTGATACACCGTGAATTGCAATTGGATGATAACTATAAAAACCCGTTTTCCCATAAGCCGTTTACGTTGACGCTTTTGCCCTTCTAGGAGGCTTGAAATTTGGAAACTTTAAACTGGCAAGTGGGTTACCTTTATACGAGTACCAAAGTTCTTTGTTTTCATTGAAAGCGATTTTAATATATAGCACTTAAAACGCCAATTATATTATATTAGTTTGTTCTCTCAGGCATGCAAAGATATTTTAATGAAACAGCCTTGTTTATTTTCCTTTCATAACCAATCTGAAGTAACAGTTATTTGTCGTGTTTGCATCGCTTTTCCTAAAATGTTTTAAGATATTTTTGCCCTGTAGGTTTGGTAAGAATGAGAACACACCTCAAACAAAATATTGAAGTACGGGTTAACTCAGTGTGCGCAATTATCGAATGACCTTTTAAAATTCTTTGCATTGAGGTAATTAGTGCAAATTAGTTATCTTTTTAATGAGCTATAGCTACTTTAAATTCATGGATCTATGACCCCATGAGAAGTAGTAAAACTTATCGCCAATATCACTTAAAAAGCAACTAAAGAAATGCTCTATGGCTGGATATAAAGTTAGAAATAATTAATGTAACAGAATGATGAATGATAATAACACCACCTCTGCTCTTTGACTTCTAAATGAGTTTATTTCGTCAAAACTGACACAATGAAAAACAATAACCACATTTAAAACTTCCGTTGTTAAGGAAAGTTCAAACCCGTCATTCCCAGAGCCGGATCCAAGCCTTAAGATAGGATGAGGGGGGGAGTTGGTGGGGGGTTGGTCATCCAGAAACTGAGATAAGGGGGCCGGGGGGCGGTCTCCAAAAAGTTTTTTCCGGCCCTTCGGACCTCAGTTTGGTCTAAAAATAAGGAAGGGCGGACCCCCCGGGTCCCTCCCCTGGATCTGCCATTGATCCCGACAAACCGTACCCTCAATCTCGCAATCCGATGCTAATCCCGATCCCGAACAAGCGTAGACCCAGTAGTAGTTAATCGATTCCCCTTGACACCATGCGCAATAGGGAAGAATAAAGTTCTTTATATTAAGAACATGACGTTCAAAGAGAACCACGCTTTTTTAAAAATTGAAAATAGATGGTGAGCGCCTCAGAATGGATGAATCGTTCTCAGCCAATCAGAGTAAAGTATGATTTTAAGCAAATAATGACGGATGGCTCACGGTTTTGCACGAAGGATAGTTTGACCCGGTCATGAAATAGTTACTCAACTGAGAGTTATCAGAATCAAACAAAAGACGAGATTCTAGTATTGGAGAACAAAGTAAAAATTTGCGGGAAAAGAAATCTAAAAATAGACTGCAAGTCTAACCTGCTGCGACACCACTGGCAGGTTGGTGGGCTCCAATGGTAACTGTGAAAGCACAGGATAGTTGTTATTCTTGTCGTCACGCAACGCTGTAAGAAGGAGGTTGCGTCACGCGGCCAGGGGATTCCCATGACATGAAAGAGAGTCGTCTCCCTTTATAGGAGCGTAAGTTGCAGATTTTGGACTCACTTACGAGGAGTTTGTTAAAGATAAAGGGTTAATAGATTTACCCATACAAATATCGTTTAGCGGGGTAGTCTAAAAAGAAAAGGCACCGTCATATTGTGTAGGAGACAGCAATCGATTTTAACTTTTTTCGCGCAATTTGAATGACTACCTTGGTTGCCTGTTTTAGTATAGCCACAGCCAAATTTTAACGGCCCCCGGTTCAATTCTTTGTTTCCGACGAGAAATGTTCCCGTAACGAGCATCCTTGTATGGGTACCTTTCATACGCGAGTCATCTCCTTCTGAAAACAGCTTAAAAGGGTCGGAACTAGGATTACGCACTTCGCTCATTTTTAGTCATCTTTGTTGAAAAATAAACAAACAACCAAACAATGTCTAGAACTACGTGCTAAGGAAAGTCCGATACTACTAAAAACAGCAAAAACAACGTCAAATCCATATAGAGAAACCGGCGTGCCCCTGGTCACATGCACAATTTCATTGTGGTGCAAGGTGCTTGGTCATTTCAAATCCCAATCTTTTTTTCCTACCGTAAAAGGCTCCGCTTCAACTGACTGGTGGAAGTCACGCGCCTCAACTTATCACTCTCACGTGACAGGTGACGTATTAATCCTTTTGGGTTTCACTGTACTTGCGCACTTCCCGTTACAGCACTCTTTTAAGTCTGCCGAAACCGAAAGCGGACTCTACTTTTTGAGAATTTATTATCATAAACAAGTGGTAATGTCAATATCTTATTAGAAATTTGATTTCCATAAAGAATTCTGTTCCTTTGTTTAAAATCATAACAAGAAATCAAAACGGCAAGTGTGAGCAGGAAGTGCATGACGCTTTAGGTTTGCGTTACTTTTAAAATGACGTGTTTTTTTCGCTCTTCCGTTTCCTTTGACCAGCCAAAACTGAAATAGTATATATTAGTAGATTGGAGGACTTGTGACAGATAGCAGCGTGGATACTGCGCTTTAACATTTGACAAGTTTACCCTATCGTGGAATTAAATATCACTTTCTGAAGTCTTCAGAGGTAAGACCAAGGTAAGAGCTAACCATTTCGTGATCTCTTGAGGGACTTGGGAAGAAATGTTGCGTGCTTTCGTTCGCGAAGAAACTTATAATTCTTATTGACGAACTTTTCTTCCCGATATCAATAGCTTCCTGCCAGGGTGCCATGCATCTTAACGATACTGGTGAGAATATCAATATTCGCAGATAAAATATCATCAAAACAACAACGCTCCTGGTAGATATTGAATAAGCGGCTCAGTAAAGTGGTCCCTTAGAGATATTTACTCGTAACTTTAACCTCTTAAACTGTTTAAAACCTCTGGGAAAAACTGCGGATGATTGCAACCCTGACAGCCATCGGAATGTTTTTATCATAACTATTATTTATTTACGATTTCTTTCGAAAAAGATAGGTTAAATTGGCTTTATTCCAAGACCTTTCTTTGTCACGAGATTTCGTTTTGAGTTATATTTGTCTATTTTTGAGATCAGAGAGGAGAATGGAAGGAGTAGACGTGACTCACACAGACTGACTCACATGGCTTTCATGGGATATTTGTCAGCATAAAGTTTGTCCGATCGGAAGTTGCTTTTTTTTAAACTTTCGCCGCAGAAATGGGATGAGGTAGGGCAACCTCGTTCCCAGGGTTAAGAGAGAGAATAGAGAGATTAAAATTCACGTTTACGCCAAACCGCAAACGTGAATTTGTACCACGTGATCAAGTTTTCCCTTATTTTCCGTTTACTGTTTATTACTTCTATACAAAAATAAGTAGTTTTGTACCAGTTTTATCCTTAAGAATCTTTCTGGACTGTTTTTTATCTGCTTATTTTCTATTCTGAGAATTCTAAACTTGAATCTGACGTTTACCGTTTATCTCTCTGATATAAAACGGCAAACTGGTCCTTACGGCAAGGCGATGAACAAGTGAACAGAAGAATAAAACAAAACAATATAAGTGATTGAGAGAACCCTTGGACCCGGAGCGAGGTTAGGGAAAGGGGTAGGGGAGTGAACGTAGGCCAGTGTCAAGAGGGTGCATTCCATAGTCCCCTCCCCTGAGACAGGAAATTTGTATACTGGAAATTTCGTCCCATGCTCGTTTCAAAATAACAGATTGACGACTGAAAACCGAACCAGTTGTGTCGCAAAAGTGTAAAATATAGGAGAAAATCAGGGTTAAAGATGAGAAATACAGTAAAAGATCGATTAAGCGCCCCTACTCGAATAAGTACAGCTCTCCAATAAGCGCCGAAAATAATTTAATAAGCGCCGCAGTGCTAATTTGGGTATTTACAAATAAACGCCCCACATTTGTTACGGCGCTTGATATGAGAGATATCAAAACCATATCGCTTGAGAAATAAGACCTCTATATTCTCCTCAGTGTTTTACCCGTAGTTGAAATAAACGCCCCACCTTTGTTACGGCGCTTGATATAAACAGATATCAAAACCAAATTGCTTGAGAAATAAGACCATGACCAACTCGTGAGTTCTAAGACGTCTTCTAAAGTTTTAATGTAGGGAAACTTTCACAGAGTAACATCAACTTAAGAAAAGAGACTGAGAAACTGCTTTCACGATACCTCTTGTGTTTCATTCGAAATAATTTTCTATTAAATTGTGCATACCTGAGGACGCACCTCACTTAATTCTCGCCATATTCCCCTCAGTGTTTTACCCGTAGTTGAAAGAAGCGCCGCACCTTCAACAGGAAAAATAAAAAAAGCGCCGCGGTCCTTAATCGATCATTATAAGGATGCAAATGCGGTATTTACCATTTTTTCCCTTGATTTCTTGCAATTCTTTCTTCACTTTTTTGCATAAAATACTTCCATCTAAATTGTCACCACCAAAATGAAGGAGGAAAGCAGAAAAATCCCGAATGCATCGACTAGTTTATTTCCTCTTTGCTGTGCAAATCATGTGGTTCCTCGCTGTCCACCCGTCTTGTATGTTTTTCCTTGTAACTTGTTGTTTTTCAAGTAATGAGTTGTGATTGGTTCTTTCTACAGGTATTGGTTTTAATTTCCAATGATGTCCAAAAGAATGAAAAATTTTATATCTGACCCCACAGAGTTGAAAAAAACTGTTTTGCGTTAAATTTGTGTTAAAATATAAAATATTGACACAGGAAAATCTGTCAAGCAAGCTAAACTGATTCAAACTGTTATGTGTAAGTTAAGTGGTTGATTCAGTTTGATATATATCTTATTTCCTATCAAAGCTCAAGAAAATCTTGGCGTACACGTTGGTGATTTGTAATGAGTTGTAACGTGCTGTTAGGATGATTGCGAAACGTTTAAAGCTAAAGAGATAAAGCGCGTTATGTTTGCATAAAACCCACATAAAACATGTCAAAGACTCTTGGGGGTCCCTCAAAGAGACTTCAGTAGTTTTATGACATGCCTTAAGCGGTCTGACTTCTTGCTCAGGACATTTTAATTCGCCCTTGTGTTGTGCGTGATGGTTATTATAGCATTAGTATTCCAGTCATTTTATAACTGCCCAGTTTCCTTTGATTTATTTTAGCTATGCCAAACCAGTTTCAAAAAGATTGTTTAAAGGCACACAATGACTACCGAGCCCAACATGGCGCGCCACCGCTGAAATGGTCATCAAAACTGGCGTCTGATGCGGAAAGATGGGCAAGGGAACTAGTAAAGTTAAACCGTCTGCAGCACCATACTGGAGACGAGGGCGAGAACCTAGCATACGCTTCAGGTAAGATGGAATCCCCGGTCACTGATGATTGATTAGGCCAAAATTAGGGAGCTTAAGCAAATACTTAGCCTGCGAAAACATCCGTTTCTCCTCGCTCTTCGCCGCCGGGGACGTTTCGCGAGGAGGTTCCTCCCCGCGAAACGTCCCCATCGGCGAAGAGCGAGGAGAAACGGATGTTTTCGCAGGCTAGAAAATACTTTTTTGAGCGGCGCCGTCAACCGGAAGTGGACTTTTTGCATTCTACGGAGGTGGTATTAACCAAATTTACGGGTAAATAGTCACTATGTTACTAAAGACAATTAGGTAACGTCAAGTCAATTTAGGACTGAAATGGACTCACTTCCTATTTTAGCTTGTTCCAGGCTCTCAGATAGTGGGGAAGACGCGTAAGAAAAAGGCACGCGAAAAGCTGGCGGGGCGGGAAAAAGATAGAGAGACCCTGCTCTCCCCAGTTTCCTCCCGTTTTATTTTCGTGTTTGCGCTTTCTCATTTCAACGGACCCGACTATCTCCGAGCCTGGAACAGGCTATTCCCGTTGACGAGCGTCGCTCAAAAACGCCTTTGCTTAATCCTCCCTAGAGGTGGTCACGTGAGTATACCTACGCTTTGCGACTGGTTTTAAAAAACGTCACATCATTTCAGTCCCGTCGAAGGCAGGGCCAACCAAACAACCTTAATGAGCTCGCTTGCGTTTTTCAGCCCTTCTATCCATCTCCCAAGCCATCTACGTGCAATGGTAATTTGATGTGAGTTGTTAACTTTCTTTAGATTGCTCGAGGGTGCGACGACTGTTTGGATCTGCTCAAGTTTTTCACTACCTCTCCAGTTCGAATGCAAGGGTCCATCTAGACTGAACTATATCTTGTCAAATTCACAATCAGAAACGACTGTAGCTCATAACAATCTATTAATCATAGTTATAAGATAAATTAAGGTATTGTTTCGACAGACAAACAAACTAAGGCTTCGGGCCTGGATAGAACTACCACTTGTTTTTTTATATATATCTAGCCGATTTTTTGACAACCAACCCAACGAAATCTGCAGTCATTTGAGTGAAAAAGCGTTAAAAAGCACGTTTCTTAAGCCCGAGAAGCTCCAAAAGCATAGCAACGAAAGAAAAGGAAAGGAGAAAAAGAAAGAGCAAGGAGAAGGAAAGAAGGAGGAGAAAAAAAAACAATGGTTCAGTGGACTCTTAGTTTTTATAATAGCTACTTTGGAGATCGGAAAAACTGTTCGACGCAGATTGTCCATTTGGCGATAATGTTATCAAAAATCCGGCTAGATATACATAACAAACAAACAAAATAAAACAATTAAAACTCTCTATATAGCTACCATGTCGGGCGGAATAGTTAACCTTAACTCGTTGTAGGGAAGTAAGTTTTCAATATTGCTATTTCATGGAAAGGAAACATAACGTAATGGTCGATATAAAGTAGTTCCTTTCACCAAACTGAGGATGACGGAGACTGGAAATGAGGATGGGCTGTCGAAATGCTGTCGTTGTGAGAGGAGATCACTTTGGCTGGCTCTTCCCAAATCGTCTTCGCGTAACGCGCACGGCGGGGTCACCGCGGGAGAAGGGGGTGATGGGAAAGGAGAGGAGAGGAAGACTCTCTCCCTCATTTTCCTCCTTCCCATCACACCCCTCGCGCCACTAGGTAGAGGTTGTGACCGACGACTGGGCACGAGTCAGTCACTTTGGTGCTAATTGCAGAATCTACAGTGAAATGTTGATTTTATACAAACACACTTTTTTTTTCTTAACTGTAGGCTACGAAATGTCAGGTCAAAGAGCCGTGGACATGTGGTACGAGGAGATTAAAGACTACAGTTTTAGAAGTCCAGGATTTTCATCAGGAACTGGTCATTTTACTCAAGTTGTTTGGATAGATTCCGTAGAAGTGGGTGTCGCAAAAGCCAGCAACGCCAATGGGACGCAATTTGTTGTCGCTCGTTATAACCCACCTGGAAATGTTCTAGGACATTTTCCACAAAATGTGAAACCGAAAGGATCAAAAATGTCGACACGATCCGAGCAGCCGGCTCGAGGCAAGGCTACGAGCGGAAAGGTTTATGTGACTACAAAAACTCCTCTTAATGACAAACCACGTAAGGATCTTATCAAAAATATGTATTCTCATCCAGTTCCCCTTCAAAACAAAACTGTTTCCGTTAGTAAAACTACTGATATGATTGACTAAAGGGCTAACCTTTCCCCAACTTCATCTCCCCCACCCACCAACCCACTGGCGGAAAAAACCGTGTTGGACTAAAGAGACACGTGAAATTTAAGAACAAGCCAACAAGAGAAAAATGTCTTTTTTCTTCTTGCTATGAGAGACCTCTGCAAGGAGGGAAGTTGGAGTTTCAATGACACATCCTACACACAGAATTTTAAAATTTCCAGGAAAAGGAATTCCTTAGACATGCACCCCTACAAGGATAGCGGTACATTACTTCCCGTCCCCTTCCCTCAACAAAGCATTTATCGTAGATAAGGTCCTAGCAAGGTTAGATCGAGGAAGATCGAATACACTAGATGCAAACTCGTTCCAAGGGTGACTTTTAAGCCAGTCCAGTGAAGCCGAGCGGGAGACACCCTGGGACGAGGTTGGAATAACGATCCTATCCAACCTTATCCACTTATTTCTTTCTTCTCTTTTACCAACCAGAAAGTACAAGGGAATTTAACAAAGAGATTCTTACGTCGCACAACGAAATTCGTTCTCGACACAGCGCCAGTGCACTGAAATGGAACTCTCAACTGGCAAGCGAAGCTCAAAGATGGGCAGAGGAGTTGGCAAGTAGAAACTGTATTCAATCAAGTTCCTCGAATGACTATGGAGAAAATATCGCTTATATGTCTGGTAAGGAAAGCTGTCCTTATTAACTGTCCCGCTTTGACTGCACAAACTTCCTGATAAAATTAAGCGCAGAGTGAGAAGTGTGAATCGTTATGATTACTGTAGACAGGTTGTTTACAGAGGCAACGGCATAAGAGCTTGTCGGGTTGTTTTAGCCTGCGCCGCAGACGAAACTAAACTCTGGTTAATTCCGTCTGCCAAACAGCCCCGAAATGTTCCAGGATTTGAGTATGCGCTATGGTTGGCCTGTTAAAAGAGCCGGCTTTGTCGATTTGCCAATCAGCTTGAAAGGAAATACGTAACGCATTTCCGGTAAATCATTGAGTCCGTTGTGGGCCCAGAATAAGGATATCGGCTATGCATCGTAGACGTTACTGACCGAAGTTAAATTACGTCGACTTTGGGCTACGTTGGCTGAAAGATTGTCCTCCGCAACATTTCTCACATGTCTTCAGTATATAGCTTCATGGCCTCTACACTTGTAGCTCGACCATACATTGTATACAGAGAAGCCTTTCCTATGGGGCCGTATGACATTTAGTGAACCAAGCCTTACACCCACTAAGTTTATACAGCCACTTCACTATCACGTCAATATTCTTTCGGCCCAAACGTAAACAATACTCATGCAGTTAATGTTACTTCTCTGGGACAGTTCTTGTTAAATACCCGCGACCATCTTGTTAGTGCTATGAGATATTTTTTACCTTCGTATCGTCGCGTAAGAGGGCTTCTAACTATTTATTTACTTATAGTGCTTTTCATAATATTACAATTACACGTGGTTTCTATACACAGGAGGTTCACTTACAGGAAGAAAAGTGACAGATATGTGGTACGAAGAACACGACAAGTACAGATACGGAAACCCCGGGTTCTCTACCAACACCGGACACTTTACACAGATCGTATGGCAGAGTTCAAAGGAAATGGGTGCTGGGAAGGCTGTTAGTTCCTCGGGCGCACAGTTCGTTGTTGCGCGTTATCAACCCCCAGGGAACGTTCGGGGACAGTTTCCCGAAAATGTAAAGCCCGCATCAAATCAAGGAGGAGGTGAGCGAAGAAATCTCACCGCATTTTTTCCAAAACGCCCACCCATTGACGTAAAAAAAACTACTCGTAGGGACTATTAGGCCAGAGTCAAGCTAGACTACAAAAAGGTCAAGTTTTTTGGTTTTTCCTTGTGCAAAGTGCCGGCTTGATATTTTGCGCGAAGCTCGTGGGCATCACACCCGTTTGCGCGTCTCTCATTTTCACTCTCTATTTTTACTCTCACTCCAGATCTTTTCTTTCAGCAGAGTCAGGTTCTAAACATGTACATCATAAATACTATAGTTATATGGGAAGACTTCTACTCCAAGATCTCTTTTCGACCTTTTAGCAGAGCTCAAGAGAATTTTACCCAACTCAGTGCTCAATTACCTGGGGAAAACTTGATACTACTTCGGTTACAATACCTAATTAGCTCCTGCTTAGTTAGTCACACGATAACTCATCTGGACACAAAGGCTCTTTATTGAAGAGCTTGGGACACTGAATGATAAAAATGAATATGCCTAATGGCATTCAAAACCGTGACGCCCGTTTCAAGATACTTGTACAAGGCCCTGGACTACTGAGTTACAAAATTCCCCCCAAGTCGATCTCGAATTCACGGATTCATCCGACACGATTGCTGTATACTCCTGGCAACAGCAATGTCAAAATTATTGTTAGTGATAAGTGGAAAAATGAATTGTTTGCTTCATATGTCACACTTTTTTTTCTGTCTTGCAGGTGAAAGAAGCTGTTGTGTCGTACTGTGAATGAAACGAAGAGAACCGATCAATTTAGGTTTTTGGGAAACTGCCCACCTACCCCTCCCCTGACCTAACATTTTGCCCTAAGTGAGATATAAGTATTAATGTTGACTTAGGGGAGGGGTAGGTGGTCTGTTTCCCAGACACCTAAATTGATCTAAAGGACCTAATAAATATGAGGACCGGCGACTTGATCCCTTTACTCTCCAAGCTTGGCTAATATCGAGTCAATAAAATTTTAACAGTGAAAAATAACTTTAAGAAATTTTGTGACAGATCGTCCATGCTGCCGCGCTAAGGGACGCTTTTATAGAAATACCGTTGATAGCAAGCGATAAAAAAAGTCAAACAAATGGCCTATGTCAATTATCGTCCGATGTAAGGAAATCTAGGACAGTCTTGGACTCTGGATTCCACGCTCTGGATTCTGAATTTCAGGTACTGGAATCCAGTCTTCATCATTGGAATTTGGATACCGGATTCCAATGGTTAGTGGGATTCCGGAATCCTTGAGCAGTATTCCGGATTCCTGATTTTACAAGCAAAATTTTTCCGGATTCCGGAATGCGGATCCCTTAAGGTGATGTTACATGAGACGACTCGCAACGACGATTTTTAGCGCAACACTGCGTTGCAACATTGTTGCGACATTGTTTCGAACGGTTACAACATTGTTCCATGAACATTGCAACGTTTTGTTGCGCTAAAAATCGTCGTTGCGAATCGTCCCGTGTAACATCGCCTTTAAATGAGGCGACAGTTACTTTGATTTTATCGAGGAGTAAACCTTTCTCCCTAAAATGGCTACACGAGCTTAAATAATAAGTTGAATATAAAGATTAAATTAAGTTAAATCTAGTGAGAATTGCTTCTGTATGTAATTATTCCTTACGGTGACATTTTTTAGTAAAATGTGCCTCTTCTACAATAAATCGAGGTTGGTTTAATTTGAGTCTTGTAATCTTATGACATGATCCTACTTTCTACTCTCCTGGAGTTAGGTCTGTTCTCCGTCCACACCGCATTTTTGACGTTTTCCAATTTTTGTCACGTCCAAAAGGATTTTGAGACTGGGGTTTATGATACTTTTTAAAAAACTGACCCTATCTCACATGGAGTTATTGCCCCTTCTGATTAAATTATGTTCATCTGTAAAGTAGATGGTAGGTACTCAACAACATAAACGGCTGTAATACTCAGGAGAAATGAAAAACAAAGGCTATCCAAAATTTTGGGTCATTTAGAAGCTGCTCGGAAGCGAAGTCACCATTGGTGCGTTTCCCTGACCCCAAACAATACTAAGACAATTGGAAGAATGACATGTCTTTGTTTCCTGCGACTAATTAGGAGAGATCTTACGAGCAGCTCCTACACTAAACATTTTGGGGGCAAATAAGGTGAATTATGGGAAATGCTGAAGTGGCGAATAACTGCCTGAGCAACCACAGGGTTCTCTCGTACTTGTCCAGCGGGAGCCCTGAAGACGAGATTATCAGGCCGGAGCATGCAAGTATGTCTGAAAAGTGCCAACGATCAAATATTCAATCTAATCTCAAAACTCCCATTTTGGAGGAACGTAGTCTATAGAAAACAGGGGCCTCATTCACTAATCCATCTTACGTTACCAATGAATAGGCTATTACTGAGCCTCTGCCTGAGTACCTGCGGACGTCTGGCCCTGAGGAAAGCTAAGTTTGTTAGCCGAAATATTGGCCCCAAATAAATCATCCTTTTGCTGTATTACCAGCCTTGCGTTCAGTTTTGTTTTGATTCGTTGCACTCTTTTTAAATCAAATGGTCGGTCTTTCAGGCCGAAATCGTCGCCCATATTGTTTTGCGTGTTAATGCTACTAGCGGGATTAGCGCAACTACAACGACGACGAAAACGAGAAGATAAGCAAGATCGTGCAGCACATATTTTGCGGGTTTCTTGGACCTCATTGCACAACTAATTTTGCCAAACTTAATTGAAATGGCAATGCGATCGCCGCTTCATCAGTGGCGATCGTCGCGACTTCGATTTCATCGGAAATACCCACACAGACGCTCATTATTTAGAAATGATACTTTAATAGAAGATATCATAACTTTGTAAGTCGTCAGAAGCTCATCCATCGGCTATTTGGATTCTAGGATTCTGTAATTTTAAAACGGTATATATAAAATCAAGTCATTTTCCAGCTTACAGAAACGTCAGGAATGGGATGTGGAGGTTGCGCAAGCGCTCGGTTCTGGTTTAAAATCTATTGACAGCTTTAGATTGTATGAATTAAGCACTATAATAAACAAAAGTCTCACTCAATATTACAATGTGCTGATAATTTAATTATTTTTTATTTTTTTTTACGGTTACTCACTTGTTACGCACTTAATGCGGACCTACTGCATTCTTTCACAGCAGTTTGGTCAGCGGCTGCATTGCGCAACGTTGACGAGAACTCGTTCCTTTCACGTGTGTCGCTAATTCCAACATGGCGCACTATAATTTCAAGAAAATTACAGTCGTTCCTTCGGCAAAGGTGAGGACAGAATGATAATCTTTTAAGTTTTTCGAGTTTCCAACTTACTGATGAATGTTTCTCTCCTGCTTCAGGACTTTGTCGATATCGTCCTGTCGAGGACGCAAAGGAAAACACCGACTGTTATTCATCGGTAGGTTGACGTGCATGGATATATGCGTAATGGCTTGTTTTAGAGTAATCAGCTTACAGGCATTTTATTCGGTTTTTTAAAGAAAAGTGATTTTTGCTATAGTCAGCTGGTTAATTCCCAAGGAAAAATCTAATCTGTTCAGTGAAAGATCAGTAGAAGCCAGCTGACGATTCAATTTAGGTTTGTTTTCATGTGCTTTCTGATCAATAAGCTTACTATCGAATGAAGCTCTTGGCTTACTTGGACACCTCACTCTACCCCTTTTGTTGTCCGTATTATGATATTTTAATTGTGCCGTAAGCAAGACTTTATTTACCGTTTTACACATTCTAGCCAGTATGTACAGAGAAGGTTGGTTGCATGGCCAAGCTCATTGTATCATTGTAGCACATTACAGATCATGGTGCATTAATTCTGAATGCTCTCCACATTTCTCTTTCCCAGACACTACAAAATAAGCCGGATTCGTGGTTTTTACATGCGAAAGATCAAATTTACCCAGCAGAATTACCATGACAAACTATCACAAATTATCAGTGATTTTCCAAGGCTAGAGGTAATAAAGATTTCGTTCTGTGGTATCCGTTCATTTACTCCCCGGGTTTACACCACCTGAAAAGTCCTTGAATGTCGTTGAATTTTAAAATAAAAATTCAAGGCCTTGACAATCCTTGGAAATTGCAGTCAGTGCTGGAAGGTCCTTGAGTTTTGGTGCTAACTTTGTCCAACCTGGATTCTCAAGTTGGGCACCCAACATCAATTTTCGGAAAACATCTGTTCGGAAAACGATTTGAGGTCTAGAATTTTCGGAACATTCGTTGTAAAATTTCTTGCTTGCCTGCCTCTCCTAGGATTTTAAACGGATTTTTACCCTAAAAAGATCACCTATAACTTTCGGGAGCCTTTTTTCTGGCTGAAATTTTCGAAAAGGTAAGTTTTGATCCCTATAATTTTCGGATCAATAGACTTTCAGCTAGTTTATCCAAACAGATGAAAACTTTTAGGGGATAAAAATATCCCTATATCTACCGTTTCAATACTAAAACACGTTTATCAATGCTATGTTTAAGTGGTTTTGAACTATAATTATGCTCGTTGTTTGCCCCTGTCAAGTACCTTAAAGGAGCAAACACAGTTTAGACCTTTAGAAGAAGATTGCTCTTGTTGTAGAAGATCTAAACAAGAGATATACTCAAGGCTCTTTTTGTATTGAATGGAGTCCTTGAAAATGGGAAATGTGTCCTTGAAAGTCCTTGAAACGTCCTTGAATTTTTTGTTCAAAAAAGGGTACGAACCCTGTATTCCTTGCTGTGAAAAGTACGGTTAATTAGGGAGCCCTTAGTCCTTGAAAAAGTCTTGAAATTTGCCCATCAGTTTTCCGCGTAATATGGAAAAAGTCTTTAAAATGGAGACAAAGTTTGAAAAAATGGTAAAAAGTCTGTAGTCTTTTTTTGCAACATGAACAAGTGATTTATAAATGAAATATTTTCGTTTTGGTCAAATTTTATTCAATCTCGTCCATATACTTATGGCACATCATGAAAAAGAGCTTTGTTCCTGCATTTTAAAGTCCATTTTGATCACCTATTTGATAACCTTAAGTCTGGAAAAAGAAATTGTTGTTTTGGAAAAAAGTCTCAAAAAAATCTTGAGTTATAGATCCAAAAATCTGTGTGAACCCTGGGAGCTGGATACAATGTGTCAGCAACATGTTTGATATGTTAAAATCAATATTTGTTCTTCTACGTTCAAAAGTGCTTCTTGCTGGTTAGCCTGTGCCAGTCCCTCGGATAGTAGGGATTTCGCAAAATCAAGGTCAAGTGAAAACTGGGTTTGCATGATCTGGGAAACGGATCAGATTTAACGTCTCTTCTCATTTAAGAATGGGCCTAGTATGGTTACCCTGTAAGCTAAGCAAGCTCTTGTTTTGTCAGCCCTTGGTAACTTTCAGAAAAAAAATCAGTTTTTGCAGCTGAATCCTGCTCATGTTTTTGTATAAGGGATCACAGAATAGTAAGTTAGCTCTTTCATCGTCACCTGGAGAAGATTACACTGTGGCTACAGGGCAGGCCACTGGAATTCCAGCATTACATGTGTGTTTCTTGAGTGTAAATCTGTCATATTGCATGCAAATTACACAAGAAATATACTTGTGAAATGTGTGTAAAAATACATGCAAGACTAAACAAGAAAATACAAATTAATATATTTTAGAATTTACTTCTCAGAAGACTACATCCTGAAATAGATACACCTGTAATTTCTTTAATCATGAGTTGCTCTCCTACTCTTTTCAGGATATCCATCCGTTCTATGCTGATCTAATGAATGTATTGTATGACAAGGACCACTACAAACTGGCATTAGGGCAAATAAACACAGCGAGACATTTGATTGACAGGTAAGGGTAATATACATGTATTGTAACCTATTAAAAATAGAGCTTATATCACCTCCGAGATCTCTCAAAAGATACAAATGTATAATCACTGCACTGCAATGTAATATAATTGTTTCTTTTTGTGACAGTGTTGCCAAAGACTATGTGAGGCTTATGAAGTATGGTGACTCATTGTACAGATGTAAACAGCTGAAGAGGGCAGCTCTTGGAAGGTAATTAAGCACTCTACTAACACTAACCTCCTTCCCCAGATAATTTGGACTTATGATAATTTGTACTTCTGTACATAATCTGTTCATTTCTGTACACTGTAAGTGTCTATCAAATAGTTGTTTTATGATACATTGTATTGCACTAAAACAGTCTTTTTTTAACCTTTATTGTAGGATGTGTACAATCATGAAGAGACAAAACCAGAGTTTGCAATACTTGGAACAAGGTATGAAACTTTTTACGTGTTTTATAAAGTAACAGTAGTGTAGAGTGAAAATAAGATTTTAAGTTGCTGGATAAAATTTATTATTATTATTCATTCAAAATATTTTCCCAATTCTGATTGGCTAAAGGCACATGCATTTGCGTTGTTTTCATTGTAAAAACTAAAATGGCAGACACTTCACTCGTTTTAAGAGTAAGAACTACAGCTGGAACTAGGTGAAGTAATGGCTAAAGACATAGCAAAAACAGCAAGAAGACAACTCGGAGGGTGACATCTGCTATTTGGAGAATATTTGCGGAGCTGGGCAAACCTAAACGTAAACTATCAAAGATAAACTTAACATCAATGCAGGTAAGCTTGTTTTAGCTATGTTTTTAAACTAGGAACAATTATTTTGAATGAATAATAAAACAATTATTGAATTCGGCTTTCGTATCATTATGAAGAATTATGGAGATCTCAGAGGCCGTATACACCCTCCTCGATCTCCATAATTCTTCATAAGATACTCAGCCTCATTCATGAATTGTTAAATAGTAGGGAATCAAACAGCTACAGATTTCTTTAGTTCTCTTTTTCCTCTACATTCCCATGAAAGTAGCCAGGGGTCATCTTCATAGTAGCTGGGGAAAATCCCCGGCCCAGTTTACTTAATGACAGCCTTGTTAACTGATCTAGCTGTTTAACTCCTCAAGGAAAAAAACAAGGCTGTTTGTTTCAGTAGCCAGACCATTCTAAGATTCAGTGAAGTTTCCCATGTAGCCTTCCCCTAACCTAACATTTTGCTGTCATTGATAAGTTATTAGATTTAGATCAATCATATTGTGTTTCTCTTGTATGTAGGGAGTGTTTGGTAGACCATCTACCAAATATTAGAATAAATGGAATTAACTCTTGGAATCACTTGTTTTGGCATTACTCAGTATGTAATATCTTGAAATCTGTTAAAATAAAATATTAACATGTACACTGTACATGTATCTAGCTTTCAAGAAGTCCAAAAAACATGATGGAAGGGATTTGCAGCAATACTTTAGCACATTCTTATTTCTGGAATATGATGAATCAAACACACGCAGCTGTAGGTTAATATACAGATATCCATCTGCAAATACATGTACACGGCGCCTATGCATTTGTTATACATGTGCTATAGGTGAATTTTGCCATAACTTTTTTCACTGATGTTTGTAGTGCGGCAACATGTGGCCAGGCTTCCGTCAATTGATCCTAACACAAGGACCCTGCTGGTGTGTGGGTTTCCAAATGTTGGCAAGTCAAGTTTTATGAATAAGGTATGCATTGCTCTCACAACACACGAATGGTGTGAGATGGTCACACTGGAAACTCTGTAAGGTTTATTACCTTTATGGTGTGGCTGGCAAGTCCTGACTTTTGGAAAGTTTTGTTAGATTGTTGGAGGGCTAAAATGAAAACTTCATGCTCTGGGCCACTTGTAACAAATGTTACCTTTGTACTTAAATGTATTACAAGTAAAAGCCAGGCATTGTGAATTCCAATCACTTTGTGATCCTCAGGCAGTTAACAGAGTAATATTTATTATTGTAAGGTTTAAAACCATAGCATTGTAACAAACATATTATTTTTTTCTCTCAAGGTGACAAGAGCAGATGTTGAAGTCCAACCATACGCCTTTACAACCAAGTCCCTGTTTGTCGGCCACATGGATTACAAGTATCTCAGATGGCAGGTCAGACCAGAGTTTTACCTGTACACATGTATATGTTGACTGTGTACATTTACATGTGCCACAGCCCAGCTTTTTTACATGTAGTTTTATGTTGTGTTTTTCTATTCATACTCTGACAATTCATGCAGCATAATACACCAAAAGAAAATGACATTTTCTTTCTGAAGTCATTATCATCATCTGTCCAATTCAGTGAAGGAAAGTTTTTAATTGGTATTAGCTGCATTGGCAAGGAACCACACAAAATTGATACTGGCTTTAATTGCAGCTTTTACATTTGTCAAAATAATACTGCTTCAACATGCAAGCTGATGTTGTGATAATGGTCTGTTGATATTGGTACAGTACAAATTAATACTAGTATTGTTCAGAATTGACAGGAAATGGTAGTACACATTTACATTGGCACTTCAGTACGCAGATGATGTTGCTACTGTACCTTTGTGAAACCCACTTTTTTACCAAACAGGGTAATAGCTGGCTGATAGTCTATTGTTGTTGGTACAGTACAAAATTGATTTTGTTAGTGTACTAAATGATACAATCACAGTGCAAAATCAGTATAAATTTGGTACCATGCTAAATGAGGTAGAGTACAGTAGAAAAATTGTTACAGATGGTATTGGTTCTGCACAGTGTTATTACTGGTATTGTGTGGTTCCAGAAAATATCCATGCCCCCCAAAAGAAGACTCTTTGATTTGCACACCCCCCACCCCCCAGGATTTTCCATTCCAGGGGGTCTTTGATGACCCCCCTCCCCCAAGGAATTTCCAGAATTTTTAAACGGGGACTTGGCTTACCACCCTTTGGAAATTCAAAGTAGCTTTGGTACTTAAAAACAAAGAAAGTGAATACTAACTAAATTACGAAAATACGGTAGAATTTTATTACAACAGTGCAGTGTAAACGTTTGTTAAGCGTATTATTCAGCCAAACTTTTAGCTTCTTCACCATCACATTTGCAAATTATGTGTGTGTTGCAAAGTTTAAATGTCAATTGTTCTACGTTTTTGTGCTTACTCCAACACAAACATTAGATAATCAGTAATTTTGTTACAAATAGTTATGGTGAGTCCTGGGATTCATCTTGTGAAAAATCATGAGTCCTGGTCCAGAACCATTAAGTCCCAATTCAAAAAGCAACGAGTGCCTGGGTCTTTTTTAACTATACAGTTAATCTGAAGATAGACTGCGAAACTTTGTATTACAGTTTACTGATATAAAAAATATACTCCTTCTGTTGTAAAGCACAGCAAAGACTAAAAGAAGTAAGTGTCATTTAACAACATCCACAGAAATCACACAAACAGGATATTCTACAGAAACCCCAAATCAATCAATCAATATTTGTGTCCTACGGGATGCATATGCCATAAATTATTTTGCATCTTTGGGGATTTTTATGCACCAGGGATGCAGGATGCAGAGGTAAAAAAAAAGTACAAAGTGATATTTTCTTTGAACTGTGCATTGTGAGGCTTGAGCAGTGAAAAGTGGCATTTTGTACTGGACAAAATTTGTGTTGATACTGTGCAATGTGAGGCTGGTACAGTCAGAATTGACTTGGGGATGGTACAGAAATGATGTTTGTTGTTATACAATATGAGGCGGGTCCAATCAAAAGTAAATTAAAAGTAAAAACTATGGGCAACCTCTGGATAATTGTTTAGAAAAATCCTTTTGCCCCCTCCAACATCTTTGACCTCAGAGATTTTGTTCCACTGTATTTCCACCACAAACAAAGAATACAACCAGGCAACTATCTGCTATGCAGGCTACATGTATTACTACTAGTAGAGAACTGAACTGCTCAGGAAGCAACCAACTTTTGTGCTTCATTATATAATGAAAACTACTGAGAGGAGGTACAGGTTGTGCATTTCCACGCCTTTATAGATAATTTCATGATCAATATATATAAGCTCATCTGTGGGTACTGGCTATGAGTGCATGTACAGCTGTATGTGACTCATTTTAAGAGAAAAGATTACGGGGAACTGTTAGAGATTTATGAGATACTGCAAAGTGTGAGTAAACAAGTGTTGGAACGTGCGGGTCACATAAAAAAAGGTCCCTTAGGGTGTATTGCCAGTGTCACGTAATACTCACAAGCGTACATGTACAGTATCTACATATACATACATTACTTTTAGGCACATGGAAGGCCACGCATTAATGTAAAAGATTAACCTCGCTCAACTAAATGCATGATTAATTTTTATTGGCAATGATTGTACTTCCTTTGTTGTTACTGGAAATTTAAACTTCCTCTTTGCTTATGATTAAGATACTTGTAGTGCATAGTAGACAACATGTACCAACAGCGAGTGATCATGCTTTCGTAGCAAACGTGAAAGTGACAAGCCCGTGCCCAGGGTTCTCTCTCGAGTATGCGAGAGTGAATGTACAACTCGGGCACCCTTCAGCAACAACAAACTATGTTGTTTTCATATTGGTCAGTGAGCTCGGGTTGGCACAGTAGAGCCGATCTCTGTCAACACAAAGTTAGCGAGTGAACATTTGCACATCAAAACCTATCACAAAAACTCTTTGGATACCCTTTGAGTATCTACAGTCACGTTAAAAAACTGATTTACAGTGAAGGTACATTACAACATTATTTATTGCTGCTGTTCAACATTTGTCTGGCCTTAATAAATTTTAACAATTCTGGCCTCACATACATAAGATGTTCAAAGTGAAAAGTTTATTTAGGATGAGTTAGTCAGTGATCTGATGTATCCTAGTTACATCAATGATAATGATAAATAGTGCTATATAAATTATGTTAGAAAATGTGCTTGACCGAATAACAAAAACCACTAAAAAGGGCCCTTGAAAAGTGGCTAAAAATATGTGGAGACATGTTCCCCTACTTAACGTGCAGTAGCATGAAACCCTGGGGAAAGAGTTCAAGAAAAAGTAACATTGAAGACCTTGATATTTTTAAAACTACAGTATTCCAAATAGAGGCTACTGGTAATTTTAAGAACTTAAAAAGGATGCAAAAAATAAGTGCAATTGATACTGTAATATATTATAATCTGCAGTTATTCCAAAATTATATAGAATTGAACAACGGTTAGTTACCATGTAAAGTATTTCAAAAAAAAGCAAAACCAAAAAAATTGATCACAACTACCCACATGTCTCTAAAGTGTGCCATAAGATTTATTTTAAAATTTCTGAGATGTTTCAATGTTGTTCCCATGTCTCTCAATGGTGAAAATTACATTTGGCACTACACTGTACTTTATTGGGAAATTAAACTTTTGACTAACAGTCATTGTGGTTTCATGTGTGTAAGTTGATTTTGTATGCTGGTCATACAATATTACCAGTCTGTACATGTATGCATGTGTTGTATTTTTATTATTCACAGGTTGTTGACACTCCAGGAATCCTCGACCATTCATTAGAAGAAAGAAACACGATAGAAATGCAGGTTAGAAAGTTTGTCAATGTTATATAAACTTTTTATTACAAATCATTGTTATTTTAGTTAAAAAGAACGATCTAAACATTTACTTGAATTTTTTAGGCAATTACTGCCCTTGCTCACTTGCGAGCGGCAATTCTCTACGTGATGGACATTTCAGAGCAGTGTGGTCACACTCTTGAGGAACAGATAGAGCTGTTTAATGGCATTAGACCTCTGTTTGCAAACAAACCCTTGCTGGTGATCTTAAACAAAATTGATGTTCTTAGACCGGATGAGCTTTCTGAGGAGAAGAAAGAGTTGATTAAAGTTTTTGATCAAGAAGGTAATATTCTGCTTGATCTTCATAACATTGCAGTACTGTACCATGCTGCAGTACAGTCCACCCACTTTACCAGAGTTGACCTAGGAAACCCTTAATGCTCTAATCATCATCTCATTATCATTATCATCATCATCATCGTCATCATCATGAAAATCATTATCTTGGTGATCATCATGATGATAGTCATCATCATCATCATCATCATCATCATCATCCTTTGCCTGCGAGCAAGCTCTCCATTTGTGGGACATCATGAAAAGTAGACACTTGAGCGGAGACATGAAAGTGGCCGCTGGGGGACAGAAAGATGAGCTTGCAATGATCACTCATTAATTTTCATTTCCACCGCTGACACACCAAAGCATTAAAACTGTCACGGCAAACATGCTGCAGATTAGAAAGTCACATTAAGACAGCCAAGGGCACATAGAATTTATTTATTTTTTAAATCCCTTTCTCAACAGCTTTCCGCTGCATCAAAGCAATGTTTTTGACCACGGATGTGTTTTTTAATCCTCTGGACATCGAACTACAATGGTCCGCACGGATAAGAACTCAATACTTTGATTCTCGTTTCATTTACATTTGAAAGGTCATCCACAGTCAGAAGACTAAGCTCGCCATCGCAATCACCAGTTGTTTAAACATAGTATATTTTTGTCTGTTTCGGAACTGGAGAAGAGCATTTTCCTGGACCTGGTTCTCTTATGTTTTACCCCTCAGTTGCTTCCTACTCTTTCTATTGACCTTCTTGACAGTCAGCTGCTAATTCTTCATCAGCTACACTGTCATGTACCAGTTTCTGAATTTTCTGTGCCCAGTGGAATTCATTAGGCAAAAAAAGCAACGTTGGAAGGCAGTACTTGAATCAGGACTAAACAAGGCACTTGATACAAACAAATACAACTGATGAAGGGTTCTGATTTTCTGATAATCCTCAGCTCGCAACATTTTATTGGCAACACTTTCACACGTACAGCTTTGCGACAATTATATCAAATGAACCCGTCTGCTTTGAGGGCTGAAACAAGTTCTGGGTTCCTGTGTGATCCCCCTTAGATCCAAATTTGACACGCAGATGAAAGTTCTCTTTTACAGAAGGAGAAAGCGATTTTCTGCCTTTGCCAGTCTTCTTTTTCGAAGTGAGTTCAGCGATCGACGACATAACACTGGTTTTGGTGATAATACATTTCCCGTGAGCTAGGCCTGTTATCAATCAACTTTAATATCTGGAATGTCATTTTTCCCTTCATCTGGACAAAGTACATGTACAAATGAAAATTTATGAGAGATTGTTGCAAGTTCTCCTTTCCTTGGCCTCTCGCTGCTTTGCCGCTCATGCATTCTTGTGTGGCTCACTTGGCTCACCCAAATAGGAGAGCTTGCTCACAGGCTACATCATCCTCATCATTATCCTAAACCGTTAACTTAGAAATTACTATAAGTTTACTTGGCTTTTGTAAACATAGTAAGTCTCTCCCCCATAATTAGAACTTGCTATATTAAGGCAGTATATGTTTGTACATTATTGGAATTTTTTCTGTGTATGAACAAAGAAAGAACATAGAGATAAACTCCTGGCTGTTTCTGTAGGTGTTACCCTTCTTCCAATGAGTACAGTTAGTGAAGAAGGCGTGATGACTGTCAGAAATGAGGCTTGTGATCAGCTGCTAGCTCAGAGAGTTGAAATAAAGATGAAGAGCAAAAAAACATCAGATGTCATGAACAGACTTCATGTTGCCATGCCAACACAGAGAGATCAGAAAGAGAGACCACCCTGCATTCCTCAGGTAATGCCGCACTATCCCGAACATCTTATAAAGGAACTGTAGTCAATCTCTAAAGCCTGCGGTGATCAGTATCGACTTTCTTTCCAAGGAATCAATGTGTAATTTAATAAAGAAATAGTGAGAGTTACGGCATTGATCACATAAGAAAATTGTCTTGGTAGGTTAACACTGGTTGTACAAGAGATAGATGAATTCTCGTGGAAGTTTGTGCTGCTTAGTATAGACTCTGTTACTGCGCTTTTCACAAATATGCGAGCTTTTTAGTTCAAAAGCCGCCTTCACAATTGGGTTTTTTGCTGCCCTCAATCATAATTACACTTTTATCATCACAAGCAATAAACCTTGAAAACAAAAACACACAACATAGATCGAAATCCGCTAATCACAGATCACAAACCATGACCTTTTGAACCCATTTAAGTAAAGTTCTGTTTCCTGAGAGGTCCGCTAAGATGATTGACGGCAGCGAAAAACACAAACGTTAGTTGGCTTTTGAACTTCGGAGTTCACGTGTTTTTGAAAAACGCAGTAATGTAGAAAAAAATACCACACTAGATGACTGTTTGTTTTATTGGCATAAACAGCACCAACCATGCACAAACATTGAGTTCTGTGTAAACAGAGTGTGAACACATCACATTTTTCTTTGCGCTATTCCTTTTTGAGAGCTTAAAGACAAACAAAGAGTACCAAATAAAAAAGCGTATAAAGAAAGCCCAGGGTTAAGTGGATTTTTCTATCAGGCTATTGAATTCTGTTCGTAACTTGCCTGACGGGCAAGTGAAGTTTTTTCGGGGACTACAAATTACAGAAGAAGTTATTAAGTTATTATGCTACACCTGTAGCTATACTTTTCCGGAATGATAGGCTGTAAAACTGACTTTCTTTGCACCCTGCTTTGTAGTGCCTTGTGATGCTTTAATTATTACTGACAAATGTGCATGAAATAAATCATATATGAGAACTGTGGAAATGACATTAAAAAAATGAAAAATGATCGTTGCAGTGGTGATTTATGATTTTCATACATTGTAGCTTAGTTGGTTAGAGTGTCGCACTGATATTGCGAGGTCATGGGTTCAAATTTCATGGAAGTCCTAAATGTTTTTCAGGCTTCTTACGCAATTGCATAAATTGCGTTCACAACTGCGAGAATCATTCTTCATTTGTTTTAAATATTACTGTTAATAACCATTCTGTCAAGGTGACTGTAATACATGTATTTATTACATCTACACTGTGTCACATTGCAAGAAATTATGTCCACAGAGTGAGTTTAGATTGTCTTATAATATTGATTCAAACTTTATTTTTGCTACTTCATATACAGGCTGTACTGGACAAAAGGCAGGCTATGGTTGTTGAAGGAGCCCAGCCCAAGCGCAAACTGGCCAGAGATCTGGAGATTGAGATGGGAGAAGATTACTACATGGATATGCGGGAGCATTGGGATCTGGCAAAAGGTGACGAGAAACATGATATTTTACCAGAGATTTACCTTGGAAAGAATGTGGCTGACTTCATTGATCCAGATATTATGAAGGTGAGGTTTCAACTTGGAGTTGTGGTGTTAAAGTTTCAATTTCTTTACGTGAAAAGTAACAGGTCAAACCAAGAGAGGAGCCCTAAACACAAAGGGGACTTTGTGTCCTTTTTTAATCCACCTAATCTGAGATTTGTATATTTCACTACAATAACTGAATTGGTTATTTAATAATTGATTAGATGTGTTTATAAAAAATCAGTCAATCAATCAATCAATCAATAGACTTGGCAATACAAGTGAAGGCCATTTCCAAGTTCCAAAAAGTCTCACTTTCAAAATGAGGCTAAAATTAATGCAAAACCTTTCCTGTGAAAACGAGTTTTATTTGCATGATCACAAAGCTCGTTTTCATATCAATGCCTTTGCACTTACAGGGCTGCAAATAACAGTCAGTTATCCAACATTGGCTGACCAAAATTTGCTAGTTTAGTGTCCAGTTCTCCATGCACCTTACCGATAGGTGGATCTGGGACCTTTTTGTTATCACAAAAATAATTATTTGAATTTCTATCATTACAGAAATTAGAAGAGTTGGAGAAAGAAGAGGAACTGCGCGAGGCTGCAGGGCTTTATGACTCAGAACCAGTAAGAGAGTGTCGTAGTAATTTTTGGATCATTATCATCATTTTGCCCCCCTGCCCCTCCCTTAAGCCAACATTTTGGCCAAAGTGAGAAGTAGTAAGTGTTAATGTTGGCCTGTAGTAAATCTTGCCAAGATTCCCGTGGTAATTCTTCCCAATATTCGTGCCAAGATTCCTGTGGTAATTCTTGCCAAGATACCCATAGTAACTCTTACCAAAATTCTTGCCAACATACCCATAGTAATTCTTACCAAGATTCTTGCCAACATACCTATAGTAAATCTTACCAAGATTCTTGCCGAGATACCCATAGAAATTCTTGCCAAGATGCCTGTGGCAATTATTGCTGAGATTCTCGCCAAGATACCCACGGTAATTCTGACCAAGATTATTGCCAAGATTCCTGTAGTAATTCTTACCAAGATTCTTTTCACGATTTTCGCCGTAATTCTTACCAAGATTCCCGTACTAAATACCTATAGTAATTCTTACCAAGATTCCCATAGAGAATCTTACCAATATTCTTACGTTTGTCACAAGGCTCCAGTAGAAATTCGTACTATTTTTCTTTTTAATATTGTTGTAGTAATTGTTAGCAAGGTTCTTACCAAGATTCCGTTTGTTTTTGGTGGCCTGAGCATGTGCGGTTTTGAAGTTATAGAGGCTGGTCTCTAGAGTTCCCCCCTCCCCCCAGGCGCAGGAAGATTCTTGCCAACATACCCACAGTAATTCTTACCAAGATTCTTGCCAAGATTCCCGTGGTACTTGTCAAGATTCCTGTGGTAATTCTTGCCAAGATTCTTGCTAAGATTCCCGTGGTAATTCTTGCCAAGATTCCCGTGGTGATTCTTACGAAGATTCTTGCCAAGATAGCCATAGTAATTCTTACCAAGATTCTTGCCAAGATTCCCTTGATAATACTTGCCAAGATTCTTGCCAGGATCCCCATAGTAATTCTTACCAAAATTCTTCCCAAGATACCTATAGTAAATCTTACAAGATTCTTACCAAGATACCCATAGTAATTCTTACCAAGATTCTTACCAAGATACTTATAGTAAATCTTACCAAGATTCTTGCCAGGATTTCCACAGTAATTCTCACCAAGATTCTTGCCAAGATTCCCATGGTAATTCTTGCCAAGATTTTTACCAAGATACCCATAGTAGATACCCGTAGTAAATCTTACCAATATTGTTGCCAAGATACCCATAGCAAATTTTCTCAAGATTCTTGCCAAGATTCCCCTAGTAATTCTTACCAAGATTCTTGCCAATATATCCATAGTAAATCTTACCAAGATTCTTGCCAAGATTCCCGTAGTAATTCTTACCAAGATTCTTGCCAAGATTTCGATGGTAATTCTTTCCAAGATTCTTGCCAAGATACCCATAGTAATTCTTACCAAGATTCCCATAGAGAATCTTACCAATATTCTTACATTTGTACCAAGGCTCCAGTAGAAATTCTTACTATTATTCTTTTTAATATTGTTGTAGTAATTGTTAGTAAGGTTCTTACCAAGATTCCGTTTGTTTTTTTACTGTGTAATTTTGGTGGCCTGAGCATCTGCGGTTTTGAAGTTATAGAGGCTGGTCTCTAGAGTCCCCCCCCCTCAGGCGCAGGAAACAAAAACAACTGCCCTGTATGCATAGGGTTAAATGCTCTATCGCGGTTACTGGTCACTTCTCGAATTATTGATAATCGTTTTTGAGGTTTTGTTATGGTATTTGTCTCGTTTTACAGGAGGAATTGGACGCTGAAGAAGAGGATATAAGAAATAAAGCTGAACAGTGAGTTATATGTTTAATTATATATTAGCGACTCTCTGAATTTTCTTGTCTTGGTTAAAGCTTTCTGAGCGCAATTTTCTCTTTACTTCAGAATCCGCGAAAAGAAAAAGCTTATTGTCAAAGCTCATCGTGAGATGAAACCAAGAAATAACAAAGCAAAACTTTCACGTTCCGCGTTCCTTAAGGTAAGTTAGAACTTTTACAGCAAGGAGCCCAAAAGTATGACCTCACATTCTTTCGTGCAGATTTAATCCAATCAGAAGCCAGCTGGAAACTGTCCTTCACCTCTGATTGGTTAATGTCTGCATGAAAGAATGTGAGGTCACACTTTTGGGCTCGTTCACATCGTTTCTGTTTTGTTTCTCAGTGAGGAGTAGTATGTACCGTAATTTTTTTGGGACAAAGAAAAAGGTAAGTGTCAAATCATAGCATAATGGGACTGCCCTAGAATGATTCTGTGTTTATTCACATCACAACCAGTCTGGTACTAGCGAGCAGTCCGAAGTCTAACGGTCCAGGCGTTACGCTCTTGCGCGGACGACTTAATGGATGTGTATAGAGGCTAGAGTTGCACTCGGCTGCGCCTCGTGCAACACTTACGCCTCTTTCGTGCTCTCCAAACTTCCCGCGTGCTCAATATCTCGACATACGCACGCTGACGCATGAACTAATTGTTAAGTGGAGTTATAGTGCAGGTTAACAATCGCAATCTCTCTGGCCAATCACGAGACCCACTGAGAGATAAGTGCTTGATCAGCTTAAACAGGGCGTGCTGGCGGAAATTCTAGGAGAATGCTTTAAATAAAATATTATCCACTCATTCATTACCTCACGTAGGAGGTGCTGAGGTCCGGGCGAAAAGCCTCTTTTCTTTTTTCTTTTTTTTCCTTTGCGTTTAGTATTTTTAGTTACTGTAGTTTTGTTTTGTTTCTTTATATACCGTTAGTTTTTTACATTTATATATTATCTTCCCTATTGTCTTATTTCCCTTTCATCCTACTTCTTGCCGTTCACCCGAAGTGCACCGCGAGGTCTTGTGATTCACGTATTTCTAGTTGTTGATTTAAATGTGATCGGTTAAAACAAGTGATGCGAACTTTTTCAGGCAATCACAGAGCAAAGCAATGTAAAGCCAAGGATTAAAAAGTTTTTATCTGGATCACGTGTGGTTTCGTTGGTTTAATCTTTTAATATTTTTTGCACATAGGCTCAAGCCGCTCGCAGCCGAAAAAAGAGTGATTCCGATTTGGGTGAGGCAATGGAAGGCATTGAAGAGGTAGGCAGTATTTTTATCATGCGCACCTATTACCATTGTTTATTTCATGTATAACACTGGACGTGTACCGATCCGTATTTGCAGGGAGATGAGACTGTAACAAGATCTCGTTCCCATACCCCAGTGAGTCGGAAAAGAAAGAGAGCGGCTAGCAGTGGCGCGCGCAGCTTATCGCGGCCACCACGTGACCAGTCTGGAATCGGATCCCCAGAGGTAAAAAACAAAACAACAGCGGTAGAATACATAAGCACTGTGAAATAACCTTCTTTTTAATGCATGCACGCACATTTTATAGCGTGAGTCAGCCAGGATCGAGCCCAGCTTGTATAGTCTGCAAAGACTTCTTTGTTTCCATAGAAGTGTGAGCAGCTTTGAGGCTTTTATTCAAAGACTTTTAAAACACCACCAACGTGCCTATTTTATGCAGTTTTATTGCTCATTACTCGATGAAAAGTTTTTCTTAACAGACTCCAAAGTTTAATCTTAGAACCACTGTATAAGGATTTCCTACACACACTCAAAAGTTCAAATTAGCCTGTACATCATAAACAGGTAAACAGTATCAAAGAAAAGTACCCCAGTGACTTAAAAATTTACTCAAAGTCATTATTGTCCATGTAATTGGTTAAATGGCGAAAGCCGCACCAGAAACATTAGGACTGTTATCATTATTGAAAGAGGTTAAGCCCTCTCCCGATCGAGAAGTGATAAATCTTCTTACATTTAATAAGTTTTATTATTCATTCAAAATATTTCCCCGATTCTGATTGGCTAAAAGCACACGCATAATTCACCATAACCAGCTACTGATGACCAAATTTGGAAGAATTTTGCGATTAATGAACCGATGACGTCAAAAGTGCAGCTTCCTTGCAGGTTAATGCACCGTTAACCGAGAGGACCTGGGGACGAGGTTGAGTTGTTTTGGCTGTGAAAACAAAAATGGCGGACATTTCACTCGTTTCAAGAGTAAGAACTAGGCGAAATAATAGCTAAAAACATGGCAAGAACAGCAAGAAGACAACTCGAAGGGCGACATCTGCTATTTGGAGAATATTTGCGGAGCTGAACAACGCTAAACGTGCACTATCGAAGATGAACGTAACGTCGATGGAGGTAAGCATGTTTTAGCTATGTTTTTAAACTAGGAGTTATTTTGAATGAACAATTATTCAATTCGGCTTTCGTATCGGAGGGTGTTATCCGCCTCGGCCTACGGCTTCGACGGATTACACCCTCCTCGATCTCCATAATTCCTCATAAGATACTCAGCCTCATTAATAAATTGTAAATATCCGCCTCTACGACATTCAAGCTAAAACTCGAATGGCGACGGCTATCACGTTTTCCCGCCAAAATGTTTTTCTCGCGCGCACACTGCTTAGTATTGAGAAATTCTCGTACTCGTTGTCGGCCTCGTCTCTAGTAACAAAAATGACTGTCGAGGGATTCTTTGCACCGCTGACGCTGAACTCGTTTCCAACTGTTGTTGCTTTCAGAAGAAGAAAAAAGCGAAGAAACTTTCGAAGGTTGTTCAAAGAGGCCTCAATCGTATGGGTAAAGCAGGTAAGTCTAGGTGATCTGTTTGATTGATTGAAAGAGAACCTCTCTCGAGGTGAACCGTGTATGACATATGAGAGAGGATAAGAGAATTTGTGCGCTGATCTGATATGTTTTGTTTTCCAGGAGAAGCAGACAGGAAGATTTCCACAAAGATGCCTAAGCATATGTTTGCAGGCAAACGAAAAATGAACAAGGTTTCCAGAAGATAGCCTTGGATCACTGTGATATGTGTCTTCTTATGTAAAAATAAAGTTCATGACACAGACTCTGTGGCTGAAGAGGTGTTTATTGCGGTGATAACGGAATTTAGTAATTTTTAATAATACTGATATTTCCTTTGTTTGTTTGTTTTACCTGACTCTTGAGCTTTTTTTAACGCTGACTACACCGAGGTAAGGGTTTCTTTGTTCAGTCAGTTCTTTCTAGCCTGTTCCGGTATTCCAAGATAGTAAGGAAAGCGGATCAAGAAAAGTTGCGCGAAAACCGCGTTGGGGCTGGGGAGAGACTGAGTAGTGGAGCCTGTAAGCATTGTTTTCAATACCTCATTACTGTTTAGCAGCTCTTGGTATAACCTATGATTGGTGAGTTGTGACAGTTATTTCTCTTACTGCGTGGATGGTTCTTTAGTGAGCATCATGGCCGACTGGGCAAGATAAAATGAATTCTGTGTGCTGATTGTCAACCGGGGTGGGCAAGGTGGGTCTTTCTTGCCAAAAGCTCGGGATTTACTCCTTTTTCCGCAAAAAAAGAGGGAAACGTTGCCTTTTGGCCAAATAACAAATCCTTTACAATACAATACAATAAATTTTATTACTGATGGCCCTCAAAATTAAGGGAGGAATATAATTATATATACAGGAATCACAATATTGAAGACAAACTGCGATAATTACTGAACAATAAGACTTTATAATGTTATAAGTATATGGTTAAAAAACCAGCAAACCTGATAAACCATTCTCAATCCTGATAATGGCCGTATTCACACATTTCTTTATGAAGTATTAATGCGTTTTTAAACGTAATTTACCAAATTCCCCATTTTCACATGGGCCATAGAGCACCTTGTTTTCCACCCAAAATTTTGCATAACCATTGTCTTCGATTTGTCTTGGGACGATTGTAAAACCCAGGAGAAATTGGAAAACAAGATGCATCATGGTCTATGTGAAAATGGTGAATTAAATACTCGATAACAGGTATTCATTAAAGCACACAGTACAAATATGAATGTATAGATCGATTGGGAGAAAGGTTATAGTAACTAAATCAACTTTACCATAAACACGTATTGTTGATATCGCCACAAATAGCGAACAGTTTTTGAAACAGCAGTTTCGTTATAGTCGATAACAAAGGATTAAATTATGGGACAAAACATGTCGCCAGAGAACACCAGTTGATGAGTATGATTATAAGGAAACTGGACCACAATTATTGCTTTTGCGATATTTACAAAACACACGCATGATACATATCCGACACACTAGATAAAACTCCATTCACTCAAAGAAAAAAATTTGCTGACTTGTATATATTTTCCACGCTTACGATTTTCATCGTTTAACACACCAAACTTACTCGGTCAAAAGGCTGTACATTGGCCTCGTTCTTTTGTTTTGCGAACTTGGTCAATATCCAGCCATCTTGACCGAATGTTTTAATTTTTGCCACAATTATTTCAGTTATTTTAAGCATTACTTTAATAGGCCACCCCCCTCTCCTTCGATTAAACCTGCTCCTTTGAATAAAGCCCGAATTTTAAAATATTCGAGGAAATGCGACGAGTCCCTCTTTTCTACTCTTTGGAAAAGAAAGGTATGGGTGGCATTAGATTGTGTTTAATTTTAGATGGCAGACTGTGTGCCAGCCCGGAATGTTTAGAGCGTAAAATGAAAAAGTCCTAATCATTTATACTTAACAACTATTCGCGTTTTTAAGGTGATGCTAATTTATTGCCCTAATTGGAAAGTGACCTCAAAGTCACTTTTATAAACCCTTTTGTGATACTACAAATTTTAGACACCTATAAGTTTTGTTTAAAACCTTAGGACCGCTTTGTCACGCAAAGCAGAGCGCAATATAATTATGACCCGGGGCGTATTTTTTAGTATGGTATATTTTAAAGCTTTTTCTCCAACAAGGTATGTTGCAAAAATCACCATTGCGACTGTGATAATGCTCAAGAATATTACAAGAATATTAATCCTCAAGGTCTTAGCGACAACTACAGTTTTGCTATTTTGTCAGAATTTGTCATGAACTGTCACACTTCAGTGGAGTCAATATTTTAAAAATCCACTGCCAGCCCAGTACAACAAAACCGGGAACAAAATGACCATGAGCGATTGTATTGCTTGATAACCACATACGTAGACTACACGCATGACAGAGTAAATAAGAAACATGTGGCTCGTTTTAAGTATAGTTCAGTTAAGTTTCAGTTTAGTTACTTTTGAACTAAATAATTCATTAATAAATACTGAATGACTCACAAATTATCCCAAATTCGGTAAATGAGTCAGTAAATCAACATAACATAATGGCTTAAATGTGTGTCCCCGTTGACAGTACTTTTCTACTTTCCCTAGTTGCGACTCTTAAACATTATAGTTAGCCTACATAATGTAACAGATCACATACAAACTTGAGACGTACCTATGATTTACCTCCGTTTTATGTTGCTGCAACCTCGATGGGATCGATTACTATACGATTACAGCTGCACTTGAACGTTATATTATTTGTTGCGTTTCGTAGTCAGCCAATATTATCACCGATCACATATTAACTTGAGACGTACCAATATACAAGATCAGACCGACGTTTCGTAGACATATTGCTGCAACCCCGCAGCGGTTGCTGGTCTTTCTATGCTATATCCACTACTGGATTCCGACTGATTCCTTCTCTGTGAGTAATAAAAGTGAGTAAGTCTCATTACGGCTCCTAGAACAGCAAATAAACATACACAGATGGTGACTGGTAAGGAGTACCAGGTGTGAGGGAAATGACTGAAATAAAACAGCAGGATCATGGTGAGGTTTTCTATCACAAAGAGCACGTTGGAGATCAACTTCATTGTTAAACGTCTGTTTTCGCCGTAGAAACCAATTATTGACAAATCATCTCGTAGCCAATGGAAGCAGAAAAACAGAATCGGCATAAATCGGTCGTCGTCGATTGTGTGAACGCTTATTCCTCTACAAAGCCAAACTCTGTCACATATCGTTATCATCGTACAGTGAAGGATCAAAACACTGATAACCCACCACTTGTAGCTTACAGTGAACAAAGCAACTGCAAAGAGTCGACTGCTTAAAATAAATAAGTGCGTTACAAATAGTAGAACTGTATCTTTCACGCCGAAATAGGGGTGTCGTCTGTAATTGCCAGGTAACGTACCAGTCTTATCAGCAACAGTAGACGCCCAAGCCAAGCTGAGGAAAGACACGGGCAGGGAAACCATTTGAATGATCGACACAGATTGCTGTTGAACAGCCATGGCGTACAACTGAATAATAAACTGAGGAGCTGATTCGAGAGCGGCCTCGGCCAGAACACCGAGTTCGCTGAACCGCAGTAGATCATCCAACTCTTCCTCTTCTTCTGAGTATCCGCCATACATTTGATGGGTGTTATTACCTTGCCTGCGTTTTAGTAACTTCTTTAGGTAGCAATAAAGCGTTCGCAGTTTCAGCCAGGCAGGATAGAGTGGATTGCATCCAAGGACTAAAACATGTGTGAATTTGCAAGCCTCAAACTTGCTCTCTTCATGATCATTTGACCCCCAGATCCTCCCTGAAGCATCAGACATCAAACGTAAAACGTAGTTAATCAAAAGAAAAAACAAACTTGGCAAAATAATGAATGTAAGCCCCACACCGAACCACGTCTTGTGATCTGTGCGGTAGAATTCCACCAGTGTGAGAACATCAGTGATCGGGTCAGCAATGCTTAAAATGGTTCCGAAAAGAACCTTCAAGATGTTGTACCATTTGAGTTCCTTTTCCGCCATTAACTTTCTGACTCAGCTGCTGACTGCACAAAACAATAAAGATCGTCCTGTCTCATTGACTCGTGTTTATCATGGTTGGGAAAGTTATGAACTATGTGACCCATAAAATGCACCTATTGGATTAAAATGGAAATTCGTAGTGAATGGCAGTTCATCTTTTATACTTCATTTATTTTCACAAAAGAGAATCAGTGTCTTAACAAATTATCCCGTGACGTGTGATCATAAATCATCATAAGCGACTTTTGGGCGCTTTCCATTCATTCAGCCCAAAATTGCGGAAACTTCGGTTAGAAATCAAATGGAACGGATCATTTCAGTCGGGTCCGACCGGAATATTTGGGAACACCTTTGTAGGTGGTCCAATTTGATCGGTCCTACTGAGTTCCTTTCCATTTGCCAAATCGTTGTACCCATCAGCGTACGGGGCGGGGGGGCTGCAGCCCCCCCTGTCGGGAAAAAAATAGTATTATTCGGGCAAAACTGATGTACCGTTCGGGCAAAGACACAGTAAGGTGAGACACCTGCTGCAGCGAACGACAGCTCACAACAGACGGTAAAAGACCACTTTCGTATCACAGTTTATTACACATGTATTGACAAAGTCGTCAGTGAACTTCAATCAAGGTTTGAGGGCAATGACCTGGAGGTTTTGTGCGCATTGGGTGAAATCGTATTCAGCCGTTCTCCAAGCATCAACAACATCCAAACTGTATGAAATTTCTATGGCGTGGATAGTGAAATGCTATCAAGTGAGAAGTCAATCTTTGAAAACTACGACTGCGGGGGCCCATGCCAGAGAAAAAACGCAGCCGTGATGGTAAAGACCATGCATCAAAATGGTCTCCATTACATTTTACCTGTTCTATATAAAGTTATCTCCATCCTGGCCACAATTCCTGCAACCTCGTGCTCTGCTGAAAGGTCTTTCAGCACCCTTCGCCGCGTCAAGACATTTTTAAGATCCACAATGGGACAAGACCAACTTCGCAGTATCGCCGTTATTAACATTGAAAGACGGTATGCAAACAAGACAATGCAGAGTGACATGCAAAGGATTATTGACACATTTGGGTGTCGAAGTAATCGTTCTTCATACTTCTTTTAGAGTTCAAATTGGTACGTTTTATCTCTCACTTCATGGTTTTGTATTTTAGAAATGTTCATCTCGATTTACCGAAATATTTGCACTATTTTGAACGCCCGTACTCTCACGGCACGGCGAAGAAAACTTGACGTCACGAAAGAATCATCTTGTGCATATGTGACCAACAAGTTTCATTCGGGCAAATTATGTTCAGCCCCCCCAACAAAATGTTTCCCGTACGCCGATGGTTGTACCCAATACCGCTCTTCTGTATCCTGCTTACAAGTGCGATAACCAAACGCTCGATACCTTGAATTGGGTCGTAATCTACCGTTCCTTTCGGGACAACTGAAATTTCTAAAATTTGAAGAAACCGGAATTTTTTTTGAATAGTAAGTTTAGTCTGCAGGCAACACATTTCGTGGATAAGTTCGGTCAATCTGTTAGGAAACTTTTAAAACAAAGCCGTTTCTGTCAAATTGGTTTTGTTTAAAACTTCAGACCTGTTTCCTTTTTTTATACGCAAAACAGAGCATTATCATAATTTTGATCCCGGGGCGCTTTTGTGGCTCATGACACGTATGGTGATATGGTAATAGCTCATTAAGGACTGTACGACAAGTTCATATTTGCTGTTAATTTGTTAGCAGCTGTGATAACTTGAGGTTTCTTAGCGTTGCGGTCTAAAATTCAACTGAAAATAATCTGGTATAAGGTAATCATTTCTGAATTCAAGCGGTTCACCATCGCCTCTCCCAACGGATCGCCCCGGCCGTTGAGGCATATTAGAAGGGAAAAGGCCTTACTTCCAATAGTCCATTTTACAGTTACAGGTGGAAACGAGGCTGGAGTTGACTTTGATTTGATACAACCCTTCCTGCTTTGTTATGTAAATCATGTCGTTCTTATGCTAACTAGTATTTTTTAAGCATGATTTCCACAAGAAAAAGAAAGAGGTTTGTATCAAAACAAGGTCAACCTCAGCCTCTCATTCATTCAAAGGCTAGCATAACTGTAAAATGGCCTATTGATGTCCATAATAAAGACAAATTCAATGAATGTTTTATTATTCATGCAAAATATTGGTAAGCTTACCTCCTAGTACACTTTTTTTCAAAACTTTGGCCTATTTCTCGGCGCGGCCTCAAGATCTAAAAAGATGTATTTTCTGGCAAATACTCTTCAAAAAGTAGATAACACCCATCGAGCAAAATTTTTTGCGTATTCTTGCATATCTTCCGTTCCTTTTGAGTCAGAATTTCAGCTGTTTTTATAATTAACTGACTGAGAGACGTCGGAATACAGAATGTTAGTGGGGAGTACAGCCAGTGTCTTCTGGGACACATTTTCATTGAACATACAAAGAAATAGCGAATTAGCGAGTTATGTCTGATCAAAAGCATCGATAGTAAAAGACATTAATTTAAAAGTTTAGTTTCGTCATAATTAAAAAACGGAATCCACCATAGCTAATTCGTCTCAGGGGACGGGTACGCTGTTCACTGGAATAACGTTAATAAGCGCACTCCTTTGATTAAGGTCAGAACTAATAAATATTTCAAGGCAATGCGTCGGTCGCTTTCTTCTACCCTTAGTACAACAATGTTATGATTGACATCAGATCGTCAATGGTTTAATTTTAGATGGTAGACTGTATGCCGGTCCGGAATGTTTAGAGTGTAAAATGCAAAAGTGCTAATAATTTACACTTGACAACTATTCGCGTTTTTAAGGTGATGCTTGGCCCGATCGAAAAGTGATCTCAAAGTTACTTTTAATTAATAAAACCCTCTGTGATACTACATATTTTAGACACCTAGGTTTTGATTAAAACCTTAGAATTGCTTTCTCACGCAAAGCAGAGTGCAACATAATTATGACCCGGGGCGAATTTTTTAGTATAGTACAGATTTGAAGGTTATTCTCTTACTATGTTGCAAAAATCGCTATTGCGATAGTGATAATGCTCGAGAATATTATAAGAATATTAACCCACTAGGTCTTAGCGACAACTACAGTTTTGCTATTTTGTCGACATCTGTCATGATCTGTCACACTTCAGTTAAGTCAAGATTTTTTACTACAACAAAACATTGCTGAGAAGCAATCAGTACGACTCCAGGCAATCATCAAAATTACCATGAGTGATTGTATTGTTGATAAACACATTCTAGTCATCTACAAGTAGTAATCAGGGGCACCCAACGAGAATATAGTTCAAAACCACTTAAACATAGCATTGTTAAACGTATTTTAGGCATAAAGGCATATTTTTACCCCCTAAAAATTTTTTATCTGTTCGGATTTCCTAGCTGAAAGTCTAGTGACCTGAAAATTATAGGGATCAAAACTTACCTTTTCGAAAATTTCAGCCAGAAAAAGGCTCCTGAAAATTCTAGGTGACCTTTTTAGGGTAAAAATCCGTTAAAAATAGGCAATTATACCATTTTTTAGATATTCGAAAATCGTAGGAGAGGCAGGCAAGCAAGAAATTTTACAACAAATGTTTCGAAAATTCTAGATCTCAAATCGTCTTCCGAACAGACTTTTTTCCGAAAATTGTCGTTGGGTGCCCCTGAGTAATCACAAACGTACGGTACAAATACGAGCCCCCATTGACGGTTTCCCTACAAATACATCGAAAACACTTTTTAGCCTATCCAGAGTACTTTTAGATCTCTAGAAATGCATTCTGAGGGCGCTATAAAATTTGTATCTGTTCGGTCATCCTAGGAGAACTTGTGGCTTTTTGAAAAAACACTAATGGCTTCTGATTTTTCTGATTCCCCTCCATCACATTTTTGAATCCGAAAATTTTAGCTTCCTTTTTTCTAGGAAAATATCCTAACCTGAGGACGAGTGAAATGTGAAAAAAATGGAACTTCAGAAAATCATATGGTATTTATTAGATAAGCTTCGAAAGTTGTTTATGAATGGAACGGCCATCTAGAGATTTTTAGCTGTCCTCAAGTAATAGAAAACTCAAAGCAATATTTGCCTGTCAGAACAGATATTTTACAGAAAACAGTCGTTGGGTGCCCGTGAATAATAGCTTAAATACGTGTCCCAGTTGGCACTAGATACATACATACATACTTTATTATACTCCATCCCTTATTAAGGCTTTTCAGAGGTACATACAAACATACTACATAACTAAGTTAAAATAAAATACAAATGACATTGGAAAATTTATAAACCTAATTTCTCTTACTGTAGCCAGATGACTCATTATTAATAGTTCTAAAAAGGAAAAAAATGCCCTAAAATATATTATGTTTGAAAGACAAACAAATTCTTCAAGCAGCTTTTATCGCATGAGAGCTTAACGTTTTTGCAAAGTTTGAGCCTATCGCTTAAGTCGTTCTAAAGTTTAACCCCTTGGTTATAAAATGAACGTTGACCAGTGGTTGTTTTAAGGAGCGGAATAAAAACTCCTATAGTTTGGCTATGTGAAATGCTAGATCATTTTACAATCCGCTAAGTACTATGGGACCATACCGTTCAGTATACATTTAAAGACCAGGATAGTTTTTAATATAGGAGTTACATGATCGTACTTTTTGGCTTCAGAAACAATCCTACAAGCGAAATTTTGAACAGCCTGGGTCTTGTTAAGATGAGTTTCAGAAGTGTTGCTCTAGACAGTCAACAGTAAATAAGCTAGTTGCGACACTTGAACGTTATGTCAGCCTATAGCCTACATAAGGACACAGAACACATACAAACTTAGATTGCGACGAGCCAATACAAGATCAGACTATAATCTACCCCCGTTTTATAATGCTTTAACCTCGACGGGATTACTATACGATTGCCGCTGCACTTGAACGGTATTATTTGTTCCTGTTGTTAAACATCATACACTGTAGTCAGCAGACATTATCATCGATCACATATTAACTTTAGACGTACCAATGCACAAGATCAGACTATTTATACCGACGTTTCATAGACATATTGCTGCAACCCCGGAGGGGTTACTTTAGAATGCTACTAAGTGCATATGATCGTTGCGTACTCCCGGATCGGCGACCATCTGATTTCTTCCTTTAGCAATTGAAGTGAGTAAGTCTCATTATTGCCCCGGGAACAGCAAACAAACAGACGCAAATAGTGACTGGTAAGGAGTACCAGGTGTGAGGGAAATGACTGAAATAAAACAACAGGATAATAGTGATGTTTTCTATCACAAACAGCACGTTGGAGATCAACTGCATTCTTCTTAAATATTCCTTTTTGTTTTCTTCTTCGACGTAATTTGCTTGTATTGAAAAATCATCTCGTAGCCGCGATGAAACCAGTAAAAAAACGACTTGAAGACTTCCCACAGCTGTTCCCATTCGTTGCGGCCTCGTCCTCTGCAAAGCCAAGCTCTGTCACATATCGTTATCACCGTACAGTGAAGAATCAAAACACTGATAACCCACCACTTGTAGCTTACAGTGAACAAAGCAACTGCAAAGAGTCGAATGCTTAAAATAAATAAGTGCGTTGAAAAAATTAAAACTTTATCTTTCACTCTGAAATGTCTGTCACTGTGAAGTACCCCATAATCAACAGTAGACGCCCAAGCCAAACTCAGGAAAGACAAGGGTAGAGAAACCATCCGAACGATCGTCACCTATTCCTGTTGAACAGCCATAGCGTGCAGCTGAATAACAAACTGACGAGCTGATTCAAGAGCGGCCTCAACAATAACAGCGAATTTAGTGGACGACAGTGGACCATTCCACTGTGGATTCTCTAGCCTGCGTAGCAAGCGTTTCCTCGCGAGGTTCGTCTAGAAAGCTGGGACAAGAGCAAAAAAAAAAATTAATGACGGGGGAGGGGGAGGGGAACCTTTTTTTTGCTTCCGCTCTAACTTTCGCGTAATAACTCGATTGGAAACGCTTGCTACGCAGGCTATGGATTCTCTTGATACATTAGAATGCCTGGCGGCGACACTTGTTCGACTCTTTAGAGTAACATGGAAGTCATACATTTTTAACTGAAAAAGCGAGAAAAAATGGACTGCAAACACAAATGCACGTGCACCCTTCACAATCAACACAATCATCACCACATTCCTTGAAACGCATTGCGAAGTAAATGATTAAAAGAAACAAACATGGCAAAATAATAAAACAGAGCCCTACACTCTGATCAGCCACGTCTTGTGACCTGCTCGGTAGAACTGCAAGGAAAGGGGGTTGGGGGTGGGAAAGGGAGTTTATGTCTGCCCACTTGATGGCCTCCCAAACACACACAATCCCATTATATTCTATTTAGACATAAGCTTTACATAGGACTGAGAGGAGCCCAATTCAGTCTGTCAGTCACACTTGTGATTAACGATTGAAGCAAAGATCGCGGTCGACAATTTGCAGATTACTATTTTTTGCTTTTTAAGTTTGATCCTTTCAGGAGCTCATAGCCCGGAGCGGGCAACTTCCATGTACTTGTGTCACGGCGTTTTTACCGACCAGTTTACGATTTAGGGACGAATTTAGAATATTTTCTAAGCCAAACAAATCACTCAGCAAATCCTACAGACCTGAAAATGGTGTTTTTGACCTTTTAATGACGTTCAGCTTTCCTTCTTCGTATCCTTTACTTTGAATGCATTCATAGACGGAGCGGAGCTTCCATTTTCGCAGGAAAAAGTACTCTAAAATGTATCAAAAAAATAAACCTGTCCTTGAAAATGCCTTGACAAACGAGTTGCTTGGTAAGGGGTTGTGGGTACTTAAATTTCTCAGAGAAATGATTACCCAACAACAATGATTGCCCAAAGAAAAGAGGAGGGGGGGGGGAGTTATGTCGGCCCACTTTTGCTATATGTGAATAGCCCCCCAAATACACAACCCCATTATATTCTTCTATTTAGTGCACTACCCTGACGCCATCTGTGTAAAATGAAGATTAATCCCCCCAAACCAGCAATGTTTCATTCATTTTCTGCGATTTTAATTCCGTTGAATATGAAAAAAGCTAAAAATTCATATTTTTGTTCATTAAAATTTTAAGAGACTTTTTAATAAATTACAATATACGTTACAGAAAATGGCAAGCGTGCCCTAAAATGTGGTACGTAAAAAACCAAGTTTATCGGGGAGTTCTGAGAGGTTTTCTCCAGGAGG